CATGGTATCCAACCCGTGGTCCTCCTCCATCCATCAATTAATGGTCCCAATACTTGAAGAGGCAATTTAAACACATATTGCTAGTAGTATATATTTACGACAATTCATGACAACTACATTACAACCAAAACGAACGGCCACGATTTAGCAATGATAAAGGCTGATTGGACATAGAGATAACAACCCTATTTCTCAATTAGGAAATGCCAGAGATACAAGCTATACAATTGGTTGTTTTCTATCCATTTTCTCGCAACAAGGAACCTTGTTTTGTCAACTTACGAAAGTGAATGGGGCAAAGAATGTGAGGGGACCATAAGAAGGTAAGAGGTATATATATATATATGTAAGTATATATGTCTGTATATAACAGTAAAAGTACTAAGAGGTAATGGGGGTTGGGTAGCTTACACTTATTTTCACATGGGTGATGCATAGAATTTAAGATAAAGTTTAGATGCCTTCCTTTATGAGAGTCTTATAAACCTATAATTAATGATTGAAGCTTCCTCATACGAGGAAATAAGGTGTTTGCTGAATGGGAGTCAAGGTTGAATGGGTTTAATGGGGTCCAATTCACTCTATATAGATAGACTCCACCCCTAGCTTGAAATTAAACAAAATGCGACCTATCAACCATTATTATATGCACCCAATTGATTTTGACCCTTCATTATATAGGGACCAATGTACTCTCTCCTCAGTCCCCTCCTTTCTTTATCTGTCTCTCACACACTCCTCCCTCTTTCCTTTTCTCTGCTACAAGGCACAATTAAATTCAACTCCTAACCTCTGTCTCTCTCTCTCTCCTTTTTTTTCTCTTTCTTTGCTTTATTGTTCTTCAAGATGTTCAAAACTTTGCAGCCCATGAGCCCATCATTTGAATTGACTGAATCTAGCTACCAGCTGTGCAGTTTGATTCTCCCACTAGCTTTATTGGTATCCTTTTTTTTTTTTTTTTTTTTTTTTTTTTTTTTTTGATACTTTATTAAGAAATTCACACACGCGCTATCATGTGGAGAGCTGCACCTTCAACCATTTGCTTTGATGGATGAGGATGAGGAAGAAACAATTATGATTGTAGATTTAGCTATTTTTTAAAACGCGACTTATATTTTATGAATTATGACATATATGAATGCTGTCATTCAATCTTCCTAAATTATATGACCTAAAAATACATCATTATTATTTTTTATTGATAAGAAATACACTCATATACTAATTTTTTCTCTTGGGGACTTAAACCTCTCGACCCTCTACTTTGAAAAGTGATGAAATATAATTAGACTATAATGACTTTGGTAATAATTCCCTGATGTGAAGTTCATCAAATGACACATTGCTAGAATTTTTTTATTTAGTTGGCATTAACAATATTCGGCAGGAAAGAAAAAAAATTTGGATGGAAGGAAGAGAAGAAGAGATGGATGAGACATCCCTAGGAAATAGATTATGCGTTTTTTTTTTCTTTTTGTTCGGTTGAATAGAAAAAAAGAGAATAAACTCATAATTTCCTATGTTCATTTTGGGAAAAGTAAATAAATTTTTTTAATTATTTTTATCATTATATTTAATAATATTTATAATATTATAATTTATAGAGGGCAATACTCTAATTTAAAACTTGTATAATTTAGGATATTATTCAATTTAAAACTTGTAAAATAGTGCACTTGTCTTCCTTCATTTTTTTCGGCCCATTTTTAGAGAGATGAAAATTTGTAAAGGAGAAAGGATGTGTCATCCTTCATATTTTTCTTTCTTTCCTTGTATCATCTCTACTGAACAAAGGAAATTCATTACTTCCTTCATATTTTTTCTCCACTCCCTCTTTTACTTACTTCATACCGAACACAACATAAATGAAAATATTTAAATTACTCCTACATATCCTAATATATATATATTTTTTAAAAGGATCATATATTAGATGAACTAAATTATGGATACAATTGTGCTTGTGATAACATGCAATTATCTCTTAGTAAAGGGCATGTGAAAGAGGAGAAATTTGCTCTTTTATTGCATAGGACAATACAAGATTTGCTCTGCACCAAAATGGAGTCCTTCTAATTACATGAAAATGAGGGTGTGACCCAATAAATTGCCTATTTTGGATCTTTCCCTTATTGGTAGAGAAGTTCCTTAATAAATCATAATGTAGAAACAATGCATCTGGACCTCACTAAAAAGGTTGTCCCTCAATATTAAAACAAATGTAGGGTTTTCAAATTATTGACCTTCTTCAAAGTCTTCCCCTTAATGGCAGATGATTCCTAAATCATAAAACATGCAAAGCAATGTATATGGACTTTCTCTTTCTCTCTCTCTTACAAGGACATGATTGTGCTGCTTGATTCCCCCAGTAGCTCTGCTGCTCAGTTTTCTCTCTCTTTATAACTCAATTAAATGTTTGATAATTAAAAATTCAGTAATTTTTCTCTTGGCCACATTTCCAGATGGACTCCGGTTCTAATACTATTTGTAGCGGCCCACTTCACCATATGATATGATAATATCCGTTTTGGACCCGAGCCCACACTATTTTGCTTTTGAATTTTATCCAAAAAGGCCTCATATCATTTGAAAATAACAGCAGCACATATAAGAGTACCTAATTTTGAAAGATACATGACTATGCACCAAAAAAAGGGTGTCCCTCTAATTAGATGAAAATGTGGGCATACCCAAATGAATGGGGATCTTTGGATACTTTCCCTTAATGGGCAGAGGGATTGCCTTGAGTAATCATAAAATTCAGAGGCACTGCATGTGGCCTAAACTCTCTTTCCTTATATATGACTCTTTTTATGCACTAAGAGTGATGTTCCTCCTGTAAAAACAAAATGTAATGTATCTAAATTATTGTCCTGTGTTTCAGAGAGCTTCCCTTAATTGCAGAGCATGATTTCTAAATCAAACCAAAATCAATGCATTTAGACTAAATCTATAAATGTATTTAGACTCTCTCTCTCTCTCTCTCTCACACACACACACACACACATTGGCTCAGGAAATATAAAAAATGAGTTGTGTGTCTGATGAGTTAATCAATCCTTGACAATGAACCTTTTTGGACTCAATTTCCAGAATTGCCGAATTTTCCCGGAAGCAACACTTGCACAATTATATTATTTAGCTATTGTTTTTCTAATAAGTGCATCTTTGTCTTGCTTTATCAACTTGTGTTTTTACTTACATGTGGACATAGAACATTTCCAAAAGAAGAAAAAAAAAAAAAAAAAAAAAAAATTGAAAAAAGCTAAGGGTTTCTACTGTTTGGGTGTAAAATATTTTTTAGAAAATATATATATTTTACTTTTTCGTGTTTGATTGTCGTAAAATATTTACGAAGAAAAAAAAATATTAAAACCTAACAAAAACAATTTACTCACTATCCTTTGCCAAATACCGAAAAATAAAAAAATATTTTACCTGAAAAATGATTTACATCAAAGTTCCATATTTTTCTTGAACAACATTAGAATTTGTTAAATTTTTAAATGGATTCAAATTTTAAAATACAAGCAAAATCAAACGATTGTTATTTTTAATTTCTCGTTTTCTTCATTTTTGCCCATCCTTCCTGTTTTTTATGAGAACCAAAATAAGGGACTTGTTACTTGAATTCAGGTATAATGTTATTAACCTGGGCATCCATTGTGGCCCACACAAGCCATATCTTATGAGGAAAAGACTGATTGCGGAACTCAGTTTGTGAGAAGCCCAATACGCAAAGCCTATGACAATGGCCCGATTTAGGCTCATAAGTTAACATGTCCAAAATGAGTGCAAGAAAAGCCAGTAAAACCTCATTGAGGCCTTATTTTGGACCTCTGATATTCCAAACTGTGATGGGTCCGTCAAATGGACTGAATTTTATTGGGCCGGAAAACTTCAAAAACTTTCTTGCCATTTAGTGCTTGTGTGTGTGTGTTTTTTTTTGGGGAATTGCATTAAGCCCTCTTAACTTATAGTCTTTTATTGTAAATCCCTCTTTTAAATATTTTTAACAAAAAAAACTCACTTAACTAATGTATAGAATTGAAAGGACAAAAAACCTAGTGGGCCGTTTTAGCCCAACAAGACCCAAAATGGACCGGACTCGGCTCAATCATATCCCGAAAGGAACCGGATCCTCAAGCAGCGTGGCCCATATAGAAAGTTGTTTGTAACGTAAGAATTTTTTTTTTCATAATAGACGAGAAGATTTTTTGCATCTTCAAGAATATAAGGGTGGAAGAAAATCCAAGTGCCCCGGCATTAACTCCCTCTGTCTTAGTGTAAATAATTGTCCAATTTTATAACTAATGTAGAAATTTATGTATAATATCGGCATATTGAGAGCTTGCCATTTGATATCAATCTATAATATGACATAAAGTTAGGATGGTGTTTAGTTTACAACTCTAAAAGCAATTCTCAGAAGTTTTATAAAAAAATAATTTATAACTGAGTTTACAAAAATTAATTTTTAAAACATTAATTAAAGTAAAACTTTTTGCACAACTTTAAAATTTTCAATTCTTTAAAAATAAAAAATTAATTTTAGAATTACAAACTCAACATACTCTTTTATAATAATATATACTTTATTAAAAATTTTATACCTGATAGGGAAACAAAAAAAAAAGAATAAAAAATGTAAGTCAATCGCCAGGTCAGTCTTACCAAAAAAAAAAAAAAAAAATGTTTTAATGGAACTGTAATAATGTAATATACTCCTATTATAAGTAAATTTTCGTCATTATTATTAATTATGTCTTCTTTTGAAAGGAAAAAAACAAAAGAAAAAAAACAAGAAAGAGGAATGAAAGTGGGATACAGCTAGCATAGCGCCCGTCACGTGAAAGAACATTAATAGCGTGAGTTTCACGCTGGGATATAAGATTCTGATCCTTTTGACTTGTGATGGATACGGCGATAACAACAGAAAAAAAAAGTACCTACTCCTATAAAGAAACAACGGTTTCGAAGCCCATCGTTTACTGCTCCATTTGTCCTTTGATCGAATCTGCACCGTACGATTACTCAGTCCCACCATCCAATACTATTTACCCTTTTATTTATTTAAGGGCGACTGTGTGCGTGTGGTGTGGCGAACAAAGGGACTTCAGGAGCAGCCGAGGAGGACGAGAGAGAGAGAGAGAGAGAGAGATAGGGCTGCTCTTGTTCTTCTGTAAAAATTATATATATAAATATAATTATATATATAGAATAGAGAATTTTAGAGAGAGAAACTGAAGAATGTCTGGAGGTATTGCGCGTGGCCGTCTCGCCGAGGAGCGAAAAGCATGGCGGAAGAATCACCCTCATGTTCGGCACTCCACCCCTCTCTCTATTTATATATATCGATTGTATATAATCTAGGTTCTCTTTTCGTTTTAAATTTTGAATTTGCTTTTCGGAATTCGTTTTAATCGATGAGTTTGATTGTAGGGTTTTGTTGCAAAGCCAGAGACTCTTCCCGATGGTTCAGTGAATCTGATGGTGTGGCAGTGCATAATCCCTGGTAAGGCCGGGGTAAGTTTTCATGATCTTTTAATTTGCAACTTCTTCACAAACCTCATGTATTATTTCAATTTTACTGGTATGTGAAAGCACTAGTATTTTGTTTCTTGATTTTATATCTGTTTTCTATTTCTTCTCATTGTAATGGTTGCGATCATTATTCCCAAAATTGGTTAGTTGGTTTGGTTACTTCCCTAGCTGTTTTTGCTATGCCCAGTATTGAAACATTCCATTGTGACTTTTGTTTTTCCTTGTTCTCTATCATTTGTTCATTTGCCGTAATTCAAAGTAGTTAATGTATCACTTGGGTGATATTAATCACCCAAGTGGTGGATAAATGCTTATTTTTTATATTTCTACTACTACTTTTTTTCCCTTTCCCTGATTCATTTTTATACTTTTATTGGTTGGAATGTTAATCCTTGCTCCACTGTCACATAGATAATAGTTGAAGAAACTCTTTGAATGTTTTTCTATCTTCATAGTGCTGGCTTGTATGTTGTATGTCAATTTCACATGTGACACATGGTCATAAACGTGGCATGTTGTTGCATCTCAGGGAGGTGTTAAGTTCAAAACTAATTAATTTGAAAAAGTTTTGGCGGCACAATATTTTAGTAGCTCAATCAATATAGGCACAATATTTTAGTAGCTGCCAAGGATGTAGACTAAGGAAATGGAATCAAACTTGGTCTGTGAAGGATACTTGTCAAGAAAGCGGAAAAGAGGGCATGATTTGATGATAAACTTCCAGAATTTCAGGGAAAATTTGTGTTTCAACGGGAAGTTTACACCTTAGGATAAAAATAATTGATTTTGTGAGTTGTATTGCATTACGCCGTTATTATCTAATAGATATCTTTGCAAATAAATGCCTTTCTTAAGTGTAAATGCACCTTGAATGGATATTGAAGTTGAGGCTAGGAAATTTGAGTTGGTTTCACATTGACTATGTTTCATGCTAGATTACATGAATGGATAGATTCAATGAACTGCTATTTTGGCATTAATAATGAAATTTAGTGCATGAATATTGGACAATTTCTTTGATTTTGGAACTCAACACTTACTTGATCCATATCCTTCATTGTCCGTTGCTTAGTGTATCCCTGTTCAGATGAAACATGATGTTTGATTTTTCATGGTCATGTTAGTGGATGAAATATTTATAGCATCATCTTTAAAGTTTTCCCTTTTAATTAGTTACCAAAAAAGTCCATCCAGTTCACTACTTTATAAATGATTAATAATTATTATGCAAAACAAAATGCCAACTTGACCATGCTTCAACAAGCAATTTAAGTTTAGTATGCTTCTACTATATTAAAGAACTACTAGAATAATAAAATGTATCACCTTAACTACAATGATGATGAGGTGGAAAATGTGTCTTTGCTCGTGTTATCTATTTATAGTACTCCCTCCCATTTAAGATAATTTGTCCTTTTATTTTTTGGATGTCCCATTGTAGACATCCACCTTGAAAAGTTATATTATAAAATGATGTAAATTTCTTATTTTGCTCATTTCCAATTGATTTAAAATACATTGGCTAGTATATAAAGTTTCTTTTGGGAACATCCATTTTTTTCCCTTATTCAAAACATAGACACCCAATTTGCCCCTACAAGTGCTTGAATTATCGACCTTCTACTTTAGAAAGTGAGGAAGTACCACTAGACTACAACCCCTCCTCAATTTCATTTGAATGTGAATGCATTAATAAATGCTCGTCTCCTTAAAAGGATTGTTTTTCTAAGATGGACAGGTAATATGGAAGCGTAGGCAGTGGATGCACCAGCGTAACATACTATATACTCACTCAAGTAACATTCTTAGGTTTGTTGAAAATTGGATGTTTGGGTTGGACAACTTAGAATAATAGTTGGCCTTTTCTTTTATCAAGATATATAAACTGCACATCATCACTTTATTCATCTCTTCAAGTGTCAATTCTTTTTTCCACTAAATATAAAAAAGAATAGCTATTGGTTTCATAAAATTCTATAAATATATTTTGATGGCAGGGGATCATTTTTGGACAATTTCTTCTATTCGTAAAATGGAAAGTTAATTTTTGCATCATTTGGTAGGTTGAATAACAAGGAGGTTGATCAATTTTTGGATTTAGTAGATAATATGCTATAGTTAAATTGTTTTCTTTTTTGTATTTTTTGCCCTTCACAACCTGTTTAAATAAGTTGGTGTCTCCTCTTTGGTACATAATGCCCTACTTTAGGAGGTTGCCAATGAGTATTAATTAGTTTACTTTAAGATGTTGCCAATGAGTATAGGAGAATTAGTAAACGAGCGTTGCTATTACGATTTCAATGCAATTTACTATACTTGTTAGAATGATAGGATTTTAACCCCAAGGATATAAGCCAAATGGCAAAGAACTCTCACGTGGGAGTTCAAATCTCTTTGGGGCCACTAGGGAATTTTTTTGGTAATTGCTCGGTGCATGTTATGGGTGGCCAAGGATCGGATTACTATTCCGATATGCTCCCAACGGATTGGAAAAATCTTAATCCTTCACCAATCCGTGGGATAACCGATCGGCTCGGATCGGATCCGTGGATTGAGTTTTTGGCTAAATCATCCAATATTATTTACTTTTTTAACCATAACTCAATAGATAAAATTTCAATTTATCAACATTAATTCATATATTTAAATGATCATTAACTAATACATTCTTAGAGTTCATAAAATGATAATTAACTAATACATTCTTTGAATATAATGTGTATATATATATATATATATATATATATATATATATATATCGCAGATCGGATCGGATCGAACTCATTGATCGGATTGGATTGGATTTTAATAGCCCAATCCGTGAGGTACGAATTCAATTTTTTTGAATCTGCCACTAATCTGTTAGTGTAGCAATCCGATCCGATCCGCATGGATCGGATTGGATTCACGGATCATTTGCCCACCCTTAGTGCATGTGGGGACTGGGGGAGTGCATGTATCTGGTGTTGGATTATTGAATAAAAAAAAAGTATGATAGGATTTCATGAAAATCATGTAAGAAGATTTTATTTTTGGTAAGAAAGCAACAAACACACACACAACACTATCCCATGTGGGTAAGGGCCCGAGCCAATATAGGCTCGGGGGGCACATGTCCCCTGGTTTGGCCCCACTAACTATATATACATATATGTTTTTTATTTACATATATATGATGATGATAATCAATTGCTAAAATTGTCTCATAATTCTTTCTTTCTTTTCTCTTTTTCTCTTCAAATTCCTTTAAAAAAAATTACATTCCCCTTCTTCAATCAAACATTAACTTTTTCCCCTTTAAAGTTCTCTCATTTTTCTTTTCTTTTTCTTCTTCTTTTTACACTTATGTATGATATATATAGTATGTCCTTTAATGTTATTTTCTCTTCTATATATATCTCTTATTTAAATTTATGACTGTAATTTTATGAACCCAATGTGTGTAATGTGATAAATTTTGCATCACTTTTAAAATACGAAAATCCGAGGACAATTGTAATTGTATTCAAAGAAAATATTACCAATCAATATTTTGGTTATTATATTTGTCAACTATTTATCTTTCTTATGCTACTTGATTAGCGTATAATTTTATTTATTTATTTTTTGTCCCTTTGGGATGGGTCAATGGCTCGGTAAAACCCGAAAAGAAGTTGGAAACTACCCATGACTTATCCAATCTTATTGCAACAAATAAAACGCGTTACCTTGAAACCTGAATATATAACGACGTTACTAAGAAAAACTCCTAATAAGACTAGTAATTATGGTATTGTTAGGAGAGGTATGTTAGCCTAATCGTGGAATTTGTGGGTGTAATCAGGGTGATTTGACCATGCAATTATTATTATAATTAGTGCGTGTAATTAGCGGGATTTTACCACATAATTATTGTCATAATTAGTGACCGTTGTAAATTATATTCTGACTAATATAAATACATGGGACATGTTAGAAAAAGACCCTTTCTTACATTCTCATTCAAAATATCATATTCAAACCTTTTCATGTTTCTCTTGTATTTCTTCTTGGTATCAGAGCAAGACTAATACCAAGAAGAAATACAAGATACATGAAATAGAAAAAGAGGTGTAAAGTCTTAATAAGAAAGTAAGAAAAGGATTTTTTTTTCTAACATATCTATACCCATGTATTTATATTAGTAAAAAAATATAGTTTAAGAATAATTAAGTGGTCAAATCCCACGATTTGACTAACACATCTTGACTAACACTCTCCCTCGAGTTGGTGTCTTTGACGCCAAACTTGAACAATGTATATTAAAACATGGTCTTGCTAATACCTTTGGTCAAAATGTCTACAAGTTGCGGACTGCAAATATGACCAGATGGTGCGACCGAGCATGTGTACAAAATAATGCACAACACTTTAGGTGTAGAAATAATGTCAAGTGGGCACCATATTTTAAAATTTATAAAACCACTAAACACTTATACTATGGAGTATGAAGTGAGCAGGGAATAGGGATCGTCCCAAGAGATCTAAACAATTATTGGTTTTCGGAATTGAATTCTACTTTAGTGCTTATGTGATTGCTAAAAAGGGTTTTGTTTGTGATTAAAACTAATTTTAAACTAAATGATTGCAATAAAGAAATAGAGTTTAAGAGATTGGAAAGAGACTTAGAGTGTAGGATTCACCACTAAGCACATTCCCTAACTCACTAACTTTCAACTAATTGAGCAAATAATACTATGTAATCTATATATGGCTAACAATTGCAATGAAAAGTGTAAACCATCAATTTTAAGCATGGATCAACTGCCTAATGACAATTAAACTAAGTGTAGTGCTGTCCAACCCTAAGTAGAAGAATTAGCCACTCATGGTTGATGGATTCGAAGACAGAACAAGTTCCATCATTTGTTTCATCTTCTCTGAGTTTTTCTTCTTTTGTGTGCTTTTTCCAAGAACCCTAGCTTTTTTCCTTTTTTTTGTGTTTTCCAGAGAGAAACTTGATACAGAAAAATAAAACCTATTTCAAAAAATAATAATATTCTCACCTTTTACTAATCGGTATTGGCTCCCTTAAATAAACCTTATTGGAGACAAATAAGTTACAAAATAGGCCCAAAACAAGAAAATCCCGTAGCCAAATAAACATCAATCCCGCAATGCTGTTAGGTGCCGGGGGATCGATCCCCCAAGGGCATTTTTAGTTCTGTGAATAGTGGGGGATCGATCCCCCAAGGGCATTTTTAGTTCTGTGAATAGTGGGGAACGATCCCCCACTCTGGGGGATCGAGAGTGGGGGATCGATCCCCCAAACACCTTATTTAGCTCCATTTTGGCTCCGGGCTAATTTGTTTGCTTCTTCATCTTTGGGAACATCATCAAAGACCCGAAAAAGGTAGAATCGACCGCTTTTGAAGAATAAGCACACTATACGAACAATGGGCTGCGACCTTTTTTTGCCATTTTCTGAACTTTTTCCGAATGTCTTTGCTTATCTCCAAAAAAAAGCTTTAATGAACCGAAATTAATCCGTTTGAACCTTATTGACCTGAAATTGACAAAAACATAAATTAGAACTTAAGCATGAAAATAAGATAGATGCAAAGACTAAAATACCCTAGTTTAGGTGCTGAAATGTGCAACATTTAAGCACTTATCACCGGAGATGATTTTTTCTCAAATGAAGTGTTGATCAACTCATCAAAGTGTCTCTTCATACCATAAACAACCAACAATGCCTCCTCATACCATTTCATGGCTTTGATACCAAAAAAGAAATACTCCCTCCATCCCATAAAATTTGTTCACTTTGAGAACTGTGACTCACAAAATTGTAAAGGCTTGACAAATTGTGGGTCACAGTTCCCAAAGTGAACAAGTTTTATGGGACAGGAAGGAGTACAAGATAGAAGAAATAGAAGAGAAATATGTAAAGGCTTGACTAAGAAAATAAGATAAGGTTTTTTTTTTTTTTTTCATCTTTCTTTCTTTCTTTCTTTCTTGCTGACATATCTACACCAATGTATTTATATTAGTGAGAAATATAATTTAAAATAATTACGTGATCAAATCCCATTAAGTATGCCCACTTATTATGACAATAATTATGTTGTCAAATTCCACTAATTGTGACTAATTTTGTGATCAAATCACACCAATTATGCCCTCAAATCCCACGATTAGGCTAACATATCTCGGCTATCAGACATATCAATTGAAAATTATTATTTTTTGAGCATTACACACCCATCAGAACAAGGTTCAAACTTGTAGAGAATTATTAAGAAACATACATTTGTAGAACTTTTCTGGCCATTATAGAAAGATTTTATGGAGCTTCGAGAAAAATATTTGAGTTTTGTTTGGAAATATTAGGAAGTGTACAAGAAACCTTCTTCCTATAAAACCATCGTAGTTAGGTGAATTATTCGACCACTCAAGTTGTACATTACAATTTTTATTTGTTATTATTAATATTTTTAAAAGAATTAAGTTCTCTAATTTTGAATGCCTTAGTTTCTTGTGGATAACTTACCATCTTATAAAGTATTACTTAATGTCCTAATGTGACTTTAGAGACTTTTTTCCTTCTACTAAGGAGAAAGATATAGTTGACTTTTTCCTAGTGTTTTATTTATTTATTATTTATTTTTAAATAATAATAAGTAAATGGTGATCAATGCTATGACCTTAAATATAGTGGAATGGAAACATAGCATTTATTAGCCGACCCTAAGTAGTTAGGAAAGGTTTGTTGTTGTCGTCGTCATTTAAACAAGCGAAAGATTATTCCTAGTGTTGGTTCCAGTAATACAGGGTTGTGGGAAGAGCGACATGCAGGGGTGGAGGCTGTGTATGCCCAAGGGGGCACGTGCCCCCCTGCCCTGGCCTTTATAAGTTTTTTTTAATTTATTTACGTATATATGAAAATTACTCCCCCACCACAAAAAAAATTCCTTTCGCTCTAATTCTTTTCCTTTCAAAGTTTCGTACTTCCTCTTTCCTTCTTCTTCTTCTTCTATCACTATGCCCCCCCTGATCTTCTTCTTCTTTTGTCGGTGTGCCCCCTCTAAATATCCTAGCTCCGCCCCTGGCTACATGATATAATTTACCTTCGGCATTTTTGCACCAAATAGATGCTCTTGTACTCAAATTTACTTTCTTGCACTTGATAATCATAATTTATACAATGCACCAAGTGAAGTCTCCTTATTGAGTCAAAAGGTATCAATATAGTTTGAACAGGATATGGTTTGGCACCATGAAATTTCGTCAAGGATGTAACAGGTTGAAGTTTGGCATTGTGTGAGAACTTGAGTGGGAAGGATGAGGCATTGCTGTTAGAAAATTTCTTATTAGTGTATAAAATTATTGTGTGGTGTGTGTAAAATTATACAGCAAAATTCTCATCAATGTTTTTCTATATGTATAGTTTCTATATGCATCTATATGTCTGTATATGTAAAGTGTAAAAAGCTTTTCTGCAGACTGAAATTTTCGTCTTTATATCTGTACGCACAATCATATTTATTTCTTTGTTGAGTTATGGTATATTATTTGTTTCAGTGGCATGTTAAGGATAAATTTGTGCAATGGTTCTGTCCATGGCTTCATTTCTTCTCTATTTAGTTTCTCATGGCTCAAAATCTGAGGCTATAATGGAAAATTAATAGAAGTAATTGAGGATAAACTATAAATCCGGTTCTCTTGATATATTACCTTGTGTGCCATTGTACTTTGGGTGGCATTGAAATTGTATATAACATGAAATGGTTGCAGACTGACTGGGAAGGTGGCAACTATCCACTTGCACTGCACTTTAGTGAAGACTACCCTAGTAAACCACCAAAGTGTAAATTCCCCCAAGGCTTCTTCCACCCTAATGTCTACCCATCTGGAACTGTTTGCCTATCAATTCTCAATGAAGACAGTGTAAGTACATTGCCATTATGTTGAATGGTTTTTATATTGAATTTATTGGGTCACCTGATTATTTGTGTCCTTTTGTTATGTCTAGGGTTGGAGACCAGCCATTACAGTGAAGCAAATTCTTGTTGGCATCCAGGATTTGTTGGACCAGCCCAATCCTGCAGACCCTGCTCAGACGGAAGGATACCACCTCTTTATCCAGGTAATATGTGCTACTCTTGGAACTAAAATACATGAATTCCTAGAGCATTTGTATTTGTTGAGCATTCTGCTCGTCATCGTGCAATCACATTACAGAAGATTAAGGTTTGGAAGGGCACTCTTATTATTTTCTGAAAGAGAATTGGTTAGTTAGATATATATATATATTCGAAAGTTAAAGCAAACCCACTATATATATTATGCCTCCCCCGAGGCTCAAACACTCAATCTCCCCATTTGGGGAGGAGAGCTTATACAATCTAGGCTAGTGCCCGTTGGTTAGATAAAGAAAAATTAATGGTTAAAATACAGCCAATGTCATCAAAAATTTTAGTACTCTTTAAACTGGGGTCTTGATATTCTAAAAAATCAGTCAGGCCAAATGAATGCAAGTTGTTCCTAGTGGGAGAGTATGGTACTTAATAATGCATTTTAAACCTGTGCAGGATTCTGTGGAGTACAAGAAAAGGGTTCGGCAGCAGGCAAAGCAATATCCACCTCTGGTCTAAATGCTAACCTGGCATTTTTAGAGATTGTTGATGCTTGGTAATTGTCAGGTTGCCCTTATGTATGGTTGGACTGCATTTTATTTTTTATATATATATATTTTTCCTGGATTATAATCAACTTCTGTTGATGTATGACAACAGAACAACCAGCCAATGATGCTAGTAATTGTGCATTTTATTGATGAACCGGTCTCGATTTTATGTCAGAACATCTTTATAGTGTGATTATATTGTCTCTGATTTCTTAAAAATTTAGAAGTAACAACATGATCTCCAGTTACCTGCCCTGTTCCATCCCTAACGGGAGGAGAGCAAAACTTTGCTGCTTCTAAATTTTCTTAAGTTGCTTTTCAATGTTCGAGTCAGATTGCAGATGAGTCGTGTCTCATCTCCTCCTATTGATTCTGCTGTAGTGGAAAGTTTTCTTAGAGGATGAGGATCAATTCTTGCGGTGGGCATTCTTCCTCCCTCTAAAATTTGGGTGCGTAAAATATTATTATTATTATTATTATTTGGGTCGGTATCACTTTTATTATTTCGAACCTCCTAAAAAGTGCTTGAATGCTTTCCAGTTGCGTGAGTCGAAATGGATATTCTTGTTGGGTATTTTCATTTTTACCAAAGCACACTACCTTTTACCCTCACAAACCCACCGAATGAAAAAGAAATGATTGTTTGATTAAAATGCTTTCGGTGGGTCTACGTTATGTCCTTTTGTCACATGATTTGCCAATTGTTACGTGATGCTTTGACCACTGTCAAGCAGTTGCGCCGTCCTAATCAGTGGGTCCTACTTGGACGGATTAAACTGAATCAGATTGGCGCCCTTGATTGTTCATGTGCTTTGGCAATTTGTGCACAACTTGGATTTGAAAACTATAATACGAAGGTTTAATTTGGGTTGGAATTGAATTGCGGTTTTAACATGAACTCAAATAAAATAATAATGATCAACCTTCTTTCTGGAGCTTATTTTGTTTTCATTCTTGTTTGATTTTTATATTTTATTTTCTGAGAAATGTATGTATATTCAGTTTGTAAATTGCACTGACTTCCCCCTTTTGAGGTTTGAGCAAATTACAAATCTGGACCAAATATTATAAAATGACAATTTTGCCCTTCACTTTGTATAAAATGAAAATTACACTGACCTCCCAAATATTGTAACATGGACCTTCCTTTTTAACGGTTACCACCAGTCCATGATGAAAATCCAATTTGTTTCTAAACATTTTGAATTCTACCTTTCTATTTATATATATATGTATATAATTCACCTCCTAAAATGCAACTCCACCTGTTACAACACTATATTGCAATCCAACAACATACATAATGTTATAATTAACCACAAATAACGGGTGTTTTTTGTGCGGCGATGACTCATGAAGTTTAAATTAAAGAAAAGAAAGAGATGTTTGTTGTATGGTGTGCATGTATCTTGGTTAATATTTTATTTCTTCAGTCTCCAATTTGAGATGCATTCTTCGAGGAATTAGGATTAGGTTTTTATTAGAAACTATAGATTTTTTAGAGAGAATAAATGATTTTTAGAGAGAGAACGAGTCTTAGTAAGTTGAGTTTTAATGTTATTATTCAAGGGGTAATTTGGTTAAATTATACTAACTATTAACCTATTTGATGGTCTCTTGCTGACAAGCAAGGGTGGCATTTCTTGTTCGCATGTCATAATCGAGTTGTGTCGACTTAAGAATATTCTACTAAATAGCTTGGTCTGAGCACGATCTGTTTAATATTCATATAAGGAATTATTAAATGGGTTACACCTATTTACTAAAATAAAAAAATATATTAATTAATAATTCTAAATCAAATAATAAATACTAGAAAAATATAAGTTTCAATCCAATTTTTGAACTTAAATATAAATTTATTTATGACACGTATAGTTAAACGGGTATAAAGGGGTTACACGGGTTGACCTTAGTCTAAAGACGACATGATTAACTAAACAAGTTAATTATGTTAACCTAAACCGTTTAAGGTAAATCCAAATTCCTTTAACTCATGTCGTGTTCGAGTCGTGTTGGCGGATTGTGTTAAACTTTGTCACTCCTATGTGCCTACGTGACAAGTAGGGTGTGCACGCGGTTCGGTTCGATACGATTCCGCCAATAATCGGAGCCGATCACAACGGTTCCTTAAAAACGGAATCGGAACCATGTGTATATGGAACCAAATCGAATCGAACTGTGAGAATCGGTTTGGTTCCACGATTCCCCACCTATGAAGGCTTTGAGCCTTTGAGCCCAGTAGCCATATCTACTAAAACAATTAAACAGAATACATTCATACAATAGCAAAAATATAAATATAAATATAAATAAATACAGAAAATAAAACTTCAATAATATTACATCCCATCCCATGGTGTATGGGTATATATCGGAGAAGTTGTGTGATCGTGTCGCTGATTGAGAAGTCTGAGATGAAGAGATGGTGTGTGGGTGATTGAGAAGCTGTGTCAAGAAGACTGATGAGAGATGAGGACTGAAGATGAGAAGATGAGAGGAGTAGAGAATTGATGACTGATGAGGGTTGATGAGTAATGAGTGATGAGGACTTGAAGAGGGGAGGCGAGGGCGAAGCGACTTTAAAGTTCTATCAGATGATAGTTGAGATGAGGAAGGGAGGGGAGGGGAGGGGAGGTGAGGGTTAGGGTTAGGGTTAGGGTTAGTTTGTTTAGATGAGAGATATTTGAGTTTTTGTAATTTAGTGGTGGACCACGTGTTGGTATGACTAATAATTACTCAATTAGTAAGTATGTTATTAATAATATATATATATATATATATATATATATATATATATATATACGGTTCTAGTTCCCACGGGTCTGGAACCGAAACCGTAAGTCTACGATTCTTATTTTTAGAATCGGGACCTGTACCGGAATCGGAACCGGAATCGAAGCCACGGTTCGGTTCGGTTCCACGGTCTTTTTGTGCACCCTTAGTGACAAGGGTGGTGTGTGTTACAAGGTTTAGTTTTTAGGGGATGTCTGAGTAATTTTGAAAATGAAAAGGGAGGTCCGTGTAATTATGGTAAACATCAGGGAGGTCAGTGTAATTTATCTTATATTATAATATAAGGTTATTGCTGACTTTTCACATTTTTCGGTTGCCCGATAACAAAAGGTCAAAATAATAAAAAATAATAATATTTTTGTGTGTAATTTGTCCAAACTCTAGAAAAAATCAATATAATTTACCTTTAAAAATATATTCAAATACATTTCAAGAGACTACCGAAACTATGGATAATTTTTTTTAGAAGACCGAAACTATGGATTACACTCAACAAAGTCTTCTTCAAATTATTTCTCATTTGATTTACCAAAACCAAAATACAAATTATTTCTCATTTGATTTACGAAAACCAAAATATTTCTCATACATTGATTACATAATCCAAGGTGTGAAGAAAAAAAGACTATGCTCGCATGTGACCATCATCACAAATTAATGATCCCCACAGTCTCATATTCCATGGTTTTTAACTTTTACAGTTAATTCAAGTAAATAATACTTGGAGTACATATGTATTTATTATCAGTAGATTAGCATATGCCCATAAGAAGAAGAAAAATAAAACCTAGGCTAGAGTAGTGCAAATTTTGTCCAAGAGGACCACAGCTATGATTACACATTGTTCCCACTTTTGTTTCTGTGCATGTAGGGGACTAAACAATGGGACCTAAACCTAATGTGCTGAAGTGGTCATATTCAAAGGTTTATATATATATATATATATAGCAGATGATACATTTATATAAACTATATGCACCTATCTTATCGGATTAAGGAAATAATGAGATGGATTAAAATGATTAGATTTTGATAATTATGATCAATGTAGGACTGAAAAAAGGTAAAACAGCTGGCGGTGAGAAAAAGACCCACATGGGTCAAAATCACCAGGAGAGAGAGTAGGAATAAGGATCTCTCTCTCTCATAGTGACAGACAAAAACACACACTGGGAAGAAAAGGCAAGTAACAAATGAGCATGATTGTATTCTTGTGATTCAAAATCTTGGGTCTGATGAAAGTTAGGTGACTTTATTATGATTAAGAGAATTAATTAAAAAAAATAAATATTTGATGCGTCATTATAGCATCTGTTATTTTAATAAAATTATACACAAGGAAATTTTTAGAAGTTATCAACTGCTGTTTAAATTAATGGTTCATGATAAAGGCCCCTCAACCATGATGCATAAGTGATTCTAATTTTATTCAATAACAAGGACCGATTAGTATTCTTTTCGAAAAAGAAAAAAAAACATGGTTAGAATAGACCAATGGAAATGATGGAATAATCTATACATATATGCCTCTATATTATTGAGTTTTAAAATTTAAAGATATGAAATTAGAGATATATCTACATTATATTATATGATCTATATAACATAAGTTGTGAAGAAAATATATTATATGATCTATATAACATAAGTTGTGAAGAAAATATATATATATATTTTATATATTTTCTTCACAACTTATGTTATATAGATCATATAATATAATGTAGATATATCTCTAATTTCATATCTTTAAATTTTAAAACTCAATAATATAGAGGCACAGCTAAATACTCATATTTTTAAAACATTTTTGTTTTATATAATAGATTAAAATGACTAAAGTAGAGTGATATTATAAGACAACGCCAAAAATTATAATTCAGTTGTATATTTTTTTCCATTTTAAATATAAGATTAATGATGCAAGTCTGTTAAATTGAATTTGTTATTTGACAACAAATTTTTAAATTTTGTATTTTATAAAAAAATATATTATCCGCAATGTCTTCACTGTAGAATTGTGGATGCTCTCACTCCTTCAATAAGAGAGTTTTGGTAAAACTTGAATTGAATATGAATTTTTGTAAGGTCATTGTCTGACAACTTGCATGATCCAATACATATATTTGACACTAATTTTTTTCTTATTATTTTGTTAAAAAACTAACGCGCCCATTTGCTGACACGAATTAGAATTGTGGAGACGTTGTGGGAGGGGGTGTGAAACTAAAGTGTATAATTTCATATAGCTTGGATAAAAGTTAGAACGAAATCGTGCATGCTTGGGTCTATAATACCATATGATGAATTGATTTGTTATAAATTGTATCCGAAATTGTAACCAACAAGAAAGATACAGGAACCTTCTTATTTCGCCTTCACAAATCCTTTCTTTCCTCCCACCAAACAAGTCATAGAGTCGTATTTTATAAAACTTACCAACCTATTCTATTTCAAGTGGGGGGCACTGTAAACTTTTTGGTTGGAAATCAAGTTAACAAATTGAGTTTGGAAAAAAGCAATGAATATAGAGAGTTGGGTATAGAAAATGAAAGTCGATATCTTTGTGTTTTTATCCCTTTTGCTTTGTCTATATCCATAAGATAAAGGAGATTTCCACCCAAATCAATAGCTTGCTTCACTTTCATTGCACCGCATATCAATGTCAAACTTTGTGAACATATGACAGACAAGAGACAAGTGAGGCTGACATTTTTCTTTCTAAAAAAGGAAAAAAATAAAAAAAAAGTGCATTTTTTCTTATGTAAACATGTAATTAAATGGATATATTATCTTTTTATTATTCACGATTCCTTAATAGGGTATTAATTACATTCACATAGGCGAAAAATCAGGAGGAATCATGTAGTTAGTTATTTTGATAGATAAGTATCTCCGTGATGGGAATGAATGTGGAATAAAATGAAAAATGACATTTTTCATTATTTTTTTTTTTCGGCTTATTATCATTTCTACTAATTACTTTGCTAAATTCCGATTGTTTTGGAGAATGTATCTTGACCTTTTCTTTTTTATTTTTCTTTCTAATTTTAAATAGAAATTAAAAGTTTTTGAGATGATTTTCATTTTCGAAAATTTCTCACAAGACCACAGTGAAACTCTCTGGACCAAGTTTTAGTCATTTATATTTTATATATTTTTCCTACTACTATTTGTGATTTATTTTTTATAATTATTTTTAGAACTTTTTAACAAGCATATTATTCACCATGAATAAATGCTTTATAATTCATTTACAGAAAAGTATTTTTTATTTTACGTGTGTGGTTAAAGCTTTGAAAATAATTGCAGGTAAATTATTATATGATAAGTGAATAAATCTGAAAAAATATAAATGTACATATATTGTTTTTCCATATATAGTTTTCTTGATTTAATGGTGTACACGTGTTAAAAATTGGAGGGAAAGCAGAGTTGAGTGGAGCGTTACAGAAAGGGCAATCTTGGAAAGAAAAATATCCGAAGCCTTTCATCACCCCCATCGCCATGGCTTCGGACTTGTGAGAATGCAGTAGCGAAGAGCGAGGAAAGGGACAAGTGCAGTTTCTTCCTCTCTCTCTATATGTATATATTATATATATATTTCTCTGTCTACAGTTTTAAAATCATCTCCCTCTCCCTTCCTTTGCTGCATCACTTTCTTCTCTGAAATCCTCGATTACCTGACAACGGGAGTGATTTTCAAAATAAAAAAAATAAAAAAATACTAATCTCGCTCAATCTTTATATATATATATATATATGAATATTGATACATTCAAACACATCATATATTTCATCTTTATATCTCCGTTTTCTCTCTCTACCTGTTAACTATGGAAGTATCATCCGAGGATTGCTCCGTCAAGGTTGCAGTGCACATCCGTCCACTCATCGGTGACGAGCGGTTCCAAGGAGGTAAAGAATGCGTAACCGTCGTAGCTGGAAAGCCTCAGGTACTATTACAGTCTCATTACATATTTGAAACTCACAATTTGTATTTGCTCTGAAACTGGATGCTTGTGGTTTTGGACATGACTCTAATTTTCTTTCACTGTTTTTGACAATCTTTTGGTTATTTGTTCAATATATATTTTCCTCCAAAATTTTTTGTTTCTTGAATTGTAATCAAGTGGAATCTCTGTTTGTCTCTCTCTCACACACACACATATGAAAGCCAATCTATGTTGTGCAGCGCTTGCCTCTTTTGTCCCTTCAATGGCCTTAAAACTCTCTCTCTACGTGATACATTACAGCTGCCTGAAATTTACATTTTTATAGTCATTGGCTATATTTGCTATTGGGAAAAGATTGATGCAAGACCATTCTTAGGTTATATGCTTTTATTCAGAATAAAATAATTTTGTGATACCTGGGCTATGAAGCCGTTGCTTTATTGATGTGTTTATTCTGTTATTTAAGATTCTGTTTCTAAGACACATTTTTATTTAATTTTATGAAATTAACTTCAGCTGCAATTTTCTAACCCATTTTTGATTTTATGAAATTAACATTCACTTGCTTCTGTCCAGCAAATTTCTAACCCATTTGTGAAGTAGTAGCCATGCAAAGTTTCTAGATTACTGGTTCATTTTGAATACCTCTATAGGGCCTTAATAGAAAACTAAAGAGTAACGTTTGCATGATGTGATTTAATCATTATGAACAAATCAAAAACCTTTGTAGGCAGTGCCAATCATTAGTTTCTGACTATGGGGTGAAATCGACACAATAGTACAATACGCTTAACTGCTTGAATTTGAGAAAATTCTCACTCTATTGTCACAAACTTAGGATTAATGGGAAAAAAAAGAAATAAATCGAACCGAGCATTTGTGTTTCAACCTTCTAGTTCATATTTAATTAATAATTATCTAATATCACATATACATGTGCTTCTTTCATTAAAATGAACCACCTTGTATCAAAATGCAGTCATTGATTCTCTTGGGAGGCCACTAAGGTGGAGATCGAAGTTTAACTTAACAGAGAGAGAGGGGGAGAGAGTTCCAATTAAAGCCACTACGGACTCCTCAGGGTCTTCATTAAATAAATGAAATATATTTTGAAGTCAGTTGAATGTTAAGGTCTTTCCAAAGGCTCATGCAAGGTCCAGTCCAGGATTCTCTACACTACCAAGTATAGAATGGGGGCTTATTGCAGTTGCGGAGGAAAGGGCGATGCTTATGTCGATATGGCAATCGGGTCTTGTTGTTAATGCCCACCATTGCCTCTAAACAATAGAAAGTCTCCATGTGCACTAGGGCTGTCTAGTCAGGGAAGTAGGGGGAGGTATTTCAGTTTCAGGATTGGCAATTTTGGCTACGGGTGGCTGAAGTTACAAGCTTCCCCCCCAAACACACAAGCTTCCCCCCCAAACACACAAGCTTCACTTCTATGAATGGCATGTCTCCACGTGTTGAAGAGCGGTCCCAATGGTGATGACTTTGGTGCTGTTTGATAACTCAATCTAGTATTTTTCGGAATAAATTAAGTGAAGGTACACTCGACACTACAAATTCAAAGCCGCATTGGAAAATTATTTTATAATTAGCACTTAAAATTCAGTTCTTAAAAATTTAAGTTTAATCAAACTACACCTTTGTATGGTCAATGTGGCCTATCTACACGGTTTCTATGTCATTTGCGAGTTGAGTAGTCTCTTCCTTTCTTAGAGTCAGGCTTGGTGAAATGGACCTTAGAAGGTCACATTGAATATTCTGTCTCTATCACCAAGCTATGAACACCTTCGGCTCCCAAATCCCAATAGGCTGTTCGTATCTGCCTACTTTGAAGAGTGCCATAACGAGTCAGTCATGTGTCCTTGGACTGTTCAATATGCCAATATCTGCATGCCTTGAGGTTTGATTGTGACGAGTTAGCCGTGTATCAAGCAGTATATGTCCCCTTACGCTTGCTTCTGAGTTCTGACGTAGGCCATGTACAACATACATCAGGATGCGATTCCATAGTCTTTGAAATTGCAGGGCTGAGGACTTATTTGTGGGAAGAAGCCCTCCGAACATAAAACCTGACTACAACTCTATGTAAGGCTTATTTTGGGCAAAAAGTTCTTGTATTAAGTGGGGAAAAAAGTTATTGTATTAAGTATAACTAGGGGATCCCATTGGAGAGAGTGTACAGTGCACATGGAGAACCATAATGAGGTCCATCTGCAATCAGACCTGTGTCTGAGAAACTGAGTGTTTCCTTGAGAAGATAACTTCAACAAGAGCCTCCTTGAGCAGGTTACTTTGACGGCCATGGCGTCAAGTTATCAGGTATACCGAACCGTGACAACTTAGCATGCAACTTGACTGATAGTCACTTGTTAATAATTAAGATGTAAATGAGTAAACATTGAAGGTTTTCTTTTACTAATACTAGAATTCTTATTTCAATCTACTAATTTAGAGACATACGACTTCGTGCATTTGGGTATGCTACTGGCATGGCACCATTTGTTCAAAAGTCACTTGTCAATCACATGCCTCGTATAAACAGTACATAACTAATATGTCACCTTATCTTTTAAGCAGTGTTTTCTATGATATCAATATCCAATGAGACGGTAACTTCGGATAGGAAGGGCGATCATGGTGAATCTTATGAAGATGGTATTTCGGTTGTATAAAGCCAGCCCTTGTTTGTTGATGAGGAAGATCTTACCTAGGATGAGATTGAGGATCTTAGAAACAATGATGAAAAGAAATTGACACTTGGTGGGAGCCGAAACAGACTGATATGATTAGGTGGCTTAATGCTGCAGTGAGATTGTTAGATTTGAGAATGGTGCACTCTGAGTTCTTCTTTGAGCAAGGTGATTGGTGAGACAATGTAAGACGATAAATTATACAGTGACATGTTGCAGCTGCTGTTAGGTGATAGTGGATTTGAAGTTATTCTAAATTCCAATTGACATAGGGAGAGAGAGAAAGAGAGAAAGGGGAGAAGAGGAAAAAAAGAAAAGAGAACAGCGTAAAGAGGCAGAGAGAAAAAGAAGAGATTGTAAAGAGAATCTATAATTTTATTAAATCTCCAAAATAATACTGACTCTTTGCATTTCACAAAGGCCTTGCCTGCATAGGCAAACCAAAGCAAATTAAGTAGCAAGACTTGAATAACAAAGTCAAGCATAAGATAAATATCAAATAATAAAGTCCCTAAAAATAAATAAAAACAAAAATAACTACTAAAATCTATTCCTAGAATCCTTCCACCTACTCCTAGCATTGGTGCAGATCGTGCATGGCACGTGTACCATCCTGATTTCCATCACCTTCCCTACTTTTATCTCTCTCTCTCTCTCTCTCTCTCTCATTCACTCACTCTTGATTGCTGCTCTCATTGAGTGACTAATTCCTCATATTGACCTGTTTCTGTTGCTATTCATCAAATAACCTGGTATGGACAGGTGTTTTGGAGATTTCGATTTAAATTCCATTTCAACATTTAAACTGGCCTATTGAAAATTTAGAATCTGAATGATCATTTCATTCCTACGTTATTCCATGTATTTAACATTTTAACCAAACGACGGAATAGGAATGACCATTCCATTCATGAATCATTGTCATTCTATACTCTATTCTTTATTCATTTTCTTGCATACTAACACAACGTAATATCTAAAGGGCTATGGAACAAACTAAGGAAAAAGTTAAAAAGGCAATTTACACGATAGATGCCCTTTGTTCGATGGAAGCAGCATGACAAGATCTTGTAGGTTATAGCAATTACTTGGTATGAAGCTTGGATGATAATGCTGGTGCTGATATAATATGACGGGCTATCTGCTATATAGGTTCTTATAGTCGTAATGTCTGTCATAACTTAATGTGATCAAACCGAATAATTTGGGGTTCAGGTGAAAGTATGTTTCTTATCTTTTAGTTCATGCTTCATTTTGTTTACCGCCATAGTTAGTGAAGATTGATATTGTGGTGTAGGTACAACTTGGTGCACATTCTTTTACATTTGATCATGTCTATGGAGGAGGTGGTTCTTCATCAACTGTCATGTTTGAGGAATGCATTGGTCCGCTTGTTGATGGTTTGTTTCAAGGGTACAATGGTACTGTTCTGGCATATGGTCAGGTAAAGTCTACTGCCTTGTTAAAGAAACTGTTTTAAGCAATAAAACAATCTAAAATCTACCAATGCACTAGCAAATGATTGATAATTTAAATGTGCTGCAGACAGGATCGGGCAAAACCTACACCATGGGGACTGGTTTCAAAGATGGTTGCCAGACAGGACTGATTCCTCAAGTTATGAATGCACTGTTCAACAAGATTGAAACTTTGAAGCATCAAACTGATATTCAGTTGCATGTTTCTTTCATTGAGGTGCGTTAAGTATTTGATTTCTTGTTCCTAATTTATATCTAGATATGCTTCATAATATAATAACGAGGATTCTACTAATGTTACTGTTCTATTTGGAGACTTCAGATATCTCTAGTTATCTGTTTCTTATTTTTGACCATATATTCATCAATTTCTTGTAACCATAGTGGGGTACTAATCAGAGGGTTATAATTTGAAGATTTTAAAAGAAGAAGTGAGGGATTTACTGGATTCAACATCTGTTAGAAAATCAGAGAGCGCTATTGGACATGGTGCGAAAGTTACTGCCCTGGGGAGGACGCCAGTTCAAATTCGTGAGACATCAAATGGAGATATAACACTAGCAGGATTAAATGAAGTTGGTGTCAGCACCTTAAAAGATATGGCGGCTTGCCTGGAGCAAGGTTCATTGAGCAGGGCAACAGGGAGCACAAATATGAATTGCCAGTCTAGGTGAACTCTGCATCATGCATTTTGTCTTTATTCGTTGTTATGAATTTTATAATGTCAAACGAGGCTGTTTGACTCTTGGCGCAACGGTAAGGTTGCTCCATTGTGTCCTGGAGGTCACGGGTTCGGAACAAGGAAATAGCCTCCCCGCATGCGGAGGTAAGGTTGTGTACATCTGACTCTCTCCAGACTCCGCAATGGCGGGAGCCTCTTGCACTGGGTTTGCCATTTTTTTTACTAATCAACCCAGTATTGGGTTTATAAAAACTGAAGTTCTTGCTCTGTACAGTTAAATAACATTCTTTTACATGTGGACTTCATTGGTGCTTTCACTGTGCATTAAAATAAATTCTTTTGTGGTTGAGAACTACATTGTCATGGACCTGTGTCTTGTATGTTTGATTGTTGAAAATATTGTCACATAATGACTTTCCAAGAGGAGAAAAAACTCAAAACTGCGTAAATGAGGGGTAAACACCTTAAACTACTGGGTGAGATAAGTTTTTAATACTTAGTGCTGCTCTAGCTTTTGCTATCCAGAAGTTAATGGATGTGACAATTAAATATGCAAATTCTAGCATACTCCATATGCGTCCATTCTGCTAAATCAGTAGAGCCAAAGGCATAGGTAGTACTAAGTTAACTCTGATTGCAGCGAACCTTGTATGGCATATAACTACTTTCCGCTTTCTACCATACAATTTACCCTGACTTTCTTCCTCTTCCATGTATTAAAAGAAAACTTCTCATGTTAGCATTTAGAGCTGAAGACCTAAATTTTCTGCCGCTGCTACTGCTCATTGTTGCAAATGAAGTAGCTACATATGAAAAATGGTGTATGTAATTCACTTCAAACATTTTCTGTAATGTTTTTTTTATAGCTTTAAACCTTTATTTCCATTTTTGTTTTCTGTTTCATTCTTGAATTTCTACTGTAGAATATACCCTACAACTTGGATCTCGTAGAAAGTATCATTTACATAGAAAAATAAAAAATAAAAAAAAAACTATGAAATGACTGCCCATTAAAATCTTGAGGTTGGTTATCTTTCTTGTTGGACTTAGTCCAAGATATAATAACTCTCTTTCTTTATCCATACCACATAGTTGTTACTAAGGTGTGATTCCTTTACCCTTTTTGAGATGTTAGGAAATTGAGTCATGTGTTGGTAAATTCCTCATCAAAATATACTTATACAAAGTGTTAAAGTGTTGTTGAGTTGATCAATAACATCAGTTGGAGACATGTCAGACACAACATGCAAGAATATAGGTTACAAGTAAATGAACTTGGATTGACCTTAGGTTAGCCTACTTTATTTATGGTTTGGGGCTTAACATGTTTTGAAAAAGTTTTAAAGAATTGATTTTTCAAAATTAAGCTAAAAATTTGTTTTTGTGAAAAATGAAGTCAAAACCTCATATCAGTAACACCTCGATTGATCCATCGATGAAGGTTCGAGGTTAGTACGGTAGGGTTTGATTGATACTTCGATCGATCGACACATTAAATCCTACTGCGAACGTAAGTCTAGGAAACTAGTGTTTTAATTGGTTTTAAAGATCCAAACCGTGATAACTCTCTTGTTGACTATAAAACTCTCACAAATGATCTATATAGGTTACACAAGAGAGTTTATCATGTGAAAGATCTCCCTCTCAATCTAATGCTTGGATCTTTCGATTGATGATCATGTGTTTCAATCTGACCTTGGTTCGATTGATAACCTATATGATTCCTAGATTCATATGCCATAAAAGAGTATTGCATGGTTATGACTTATTTGTGAATCTCCTTTATCTAATTGCATGTGGTTCCTTTTGCATGTTTGTATAGTCGGTCGCACGCCGTTTTCACAATCACTTTGGAACAGATGCGTAAACTCAATCCTGTTTTCGGTGGCAAGATCAGTGCAGATGAGGACATGGCTGAAGAGTTACTATCTGCAAAACTCCACCTTGTAGATCTTGCTGGATCTGAAAGAGCAAAAAGAACAGGTTCTGACGGTCTTCGCTTTAAAGAAGGTTGGTTTTACTGTTTATCTGACGATGTATTCCAATATCCCAACAACAATAATAAAAGTTATTTTTCCTTTTTTCCCTCCTTCACTGAACAGGCATTCACATTAATAAGGGTCTTCTTGCACTTGGTAATGTCATCAGTGCACTAGGGGATGAGAAAAAACGGAAAGGGGGTGTGCATATTCCTTATCGAGACAGCAAACTTACTCGGATATTGCAGGTTCATAACAACTTGATCCGTAAAATATTTTGTAGATATGTAATTGTTCAAAAGTATTTGACTTATGGAGTAAAATCTGATTTGCTGTTTATGGCTTGGGAAAGTGATGTCCTGATATCGGTTTAAAAAAATTTGAAAGAAACCTTTGCTTTCTTTGCTGATCGATCATATCATACAATGCAGCAATGTATTTACATTACGTTTTTCAACAAATGAAAATGAAAATGAAAAGAAACCTCTGGTTTTTTGGCTGATCGATCACATCACACAAGCAGCAATGTATTTGCATTATGTTTTTCAGCAAATGAATATGAGTACTTGTTTTACAAGTTAAATTATCCATTCAACTTATAGAACAGAAAATTAACTGAAGAGTTTATTCTTTAGCCCTATTATTTGGCATAATTAATGTTCACACACTAACTTTGCTAATTTTCAAAGATAAAGCTGTAAGCTAATATTCATCTCTTTATTTCTCCGGCTTTGTGTGTCTGCCTGCATGGTTGCTTGCATGTTTATGGGCATGCCTTTTTGGGTTCATTGTATAACTAGTTATCAATGCCAAGGTTAAGTAATCAATGTAATCAATAAGTTCTGATAGAAATATGTCAAGGCTGGTTGATAGTGGTGTTTGACCTTGTCTTTCGAAACTTGGTCATTAGGTTTTTGCCACTTAATGGTTACAGAAATTGTTTAAATTAGAAAGGAAGCATTTGTATTTAGTTTTTATTTTTCTTCTTATTATAATTTTGCCGAACTAAGTTTACTTATGCATTTTGGCAGGATTCACTAGGAGGAAACAGCAGAACTGTTATGATAGGTAGAATCCTGACATTCCAATTTTTCTTGAGCCATCTTTTAACTGTCAAATGCTTTAGAATACATAACTAAAAAAAGAAAAAAAAAATTGTCAAATGCTTTAGATGGGAAGTAATTATGCTCATGGCTTCATATGGTGCCATTTGATGCCTTGTTGAACAATCATGTGAACTGACTTATTTGTTCACTGGCCTTGTTCGTTTCAATTGAAGTTATCTTCTGAGACAATTTCCATGCTTTAATTCTTACTTCTGTTAACAATCATAATTTAAGGTATACATGCTGGCGGTTAACTTGCTTCAAAGTTTTTTGGAAAAATTACAGAGACTTTTGGAGACATATTTACACTGACATGTTGTAGAAAATGTGTTGTTTTTTCCACTCTAAAATAGACTTTTAAAATTTAATATCATGACTTGGCAAATCACTGTGCAGAAATTTTGCATGCCCCTTCTGTCCTCTCTGCATTTGCACTAGTGCATAATTTTTATTCACAAAAATATGCACCGTAGCAAAATTTATTTTAGTACATCAGTTACGCACAAATGTGTAATGTTATGCACTGGTGCATAATTATATACACAAATTATGCACCATTGTGTAATTTTATGCATATGGTACATCTATATACCTCTTATAGTGCACATGTACCAAACTCACTCAAGACATTTGCCTTGAAGGGAAAATAAGGAAAATTAAAGCACGAGCAAAAGAAAGAAAGAGAACCTACTTTCTGCTGATTAATTGAGGAGAGGTGGAGGGATCTAAATACTGCATGATATATGGATGGCACTAATATATTATTGAAACTTGTCAGATTGGCCATCTTACTTGAAGAAAGGCATTGTTGTATTGCACATAAACTATCTTTTCGCAGTTGTGGACGCAATAAAATTTCTTGTTAAAAATCAGTGTTTTTATAAAATATAGATGGACTGTGTTACATGGACTCTTCAAAATTGCTTGAAGTTCCTGTGTTGAACATACACTTGGACATATGAATGCGATAGGTTCGAACACATATGGTTGGACATGCACCTAACAAGTTTTCCCAATAATTCACATCTATTATATATTTTGTAAATAACACTCTTTTCTTATATTCTTCTTGCTCCAAAGCAAGTGAAAATATTATTTTACTCTAGAAAATGAAAGATTTAAATAATAAGAGTGTCTAGCCATGTCCCGTTGTCCTTGGATTTGGGAATTGGATAAATTCAAAGTTTAGACACACACCAACACCTGACACATGTAGTCGAGTCCATATAGCATAATTCGTGGATGACTGCTAACAAAGCGTTTATATGAGTACTTTAATTGATAGTACTGAATCTCACCTCACATATTGGAGGTTGGGATTTTGAATCCCTTTGGGGCCACCCCGAGGGAATTTTCCGGTAATTGCCCGATGCATGTGGAACAGAGGGACTGCCTGTACTGATGGTGGATTATGGGGTTCTCTAAGAGGCCCGGCACCACCATAGTCGAAAAAATAAAAATAAAAAATTTGATGGCACTGTGATATTAGTAGGCACATTCCCCTTATTGAAGACTTACTTATGTTCGCTGTTCAGACATGGAATTAAGATGAGCCTTCAGCATGTTTGGGATTTCTCGAGTGTTTAATCTGGCTAATTTATCATTTGCAGGGGCACTTATATATAGTTCTTATTTCTTTTTTAAATATTGTAGTGAGTTCCTAATCATTCTAAAAGGACAATTTGGTGCAATTTTTCTTTTCCTAAATAATTTGGTGCAATATTAATTCAAACATATATCACATTACTCGAGTCCAATTTATAATACATATATGTGTGTTATATATTGCATAATTTTAGTGTTATGGTGTTTTGCTTTGTTTTTACATTTTTTTGGTTTTTATGGAAGTTGGCATCATTTCTTTGGAGAGGCTAGTGATAATGTTGAAATATTTTGAGTTGCATGTGTTCCCTTGATTAATGTTGGTAACTTGCTCATGCTTCTCTCGTTGATTCTGAACATCTTCCTTCCAGCTTGCATCAGCCCTGCTGATATCAATGCTGAAGAAACCCTTAACACTCTCAAATATGCTAATCGTGCTCGCAACATTCAGAATAAGCCCATTGTAAGTTATTTTCGATAATCCTTATTATTGCTGTTTTATATGTTTTTTCTATTCCACTACAGTGTATATGGATAAGGAGATCCTTGTTTCAAGTTCCATATATGTCTAAAAGAGAAGCCCTTTTTTTAATTTCTTTTTGTGTTGTACAGGTTAACAGAGATTTCATATCCAATGAGATGCAAAAGATGCACCAGCAGTTAGAGTACTTGCAGACAGAACTTAGTGCTCGTAAGAGAGGAGCTTTTTCTAATGAACTGCTGGTATATGATTTCTAGAGAACTCTTTTTATTTAGACGCAGTTATTTTATATATATATATATATTTATTTATACACACACACACACATGCATATGGACATATGTATACACAAAGAATATAGCTTGGTTAACTGTCTGTGGTTGGAAATTCTAAAAAAAAGGCACCCAGTTCACAATGTTGGTCTCACCTACATGGGGTGTTGGGAGGGAAATCAGACTTGTGTCCTCATGATTGCCGGCACAAGTTTTTACAATTGCACCAAGCAGTGGCTCCTATGTTTTTAGGAGGATATATTACACTCATTTCACTGAAAACTCTGTGAATGACTAATTGAGGATGGGAAAACCGCCAATAGATGAGGCCCTTAGATTTTAACCTCAATCTCTTTTATTGTTTCCACAACTTTAATTTGCCTATCATCGCCTTTCTTGCTGAAAGGCTGTCATGCCTTGTTTCTCCATAGTAAACATCGACACTCACACGTTCTATCTGGGTTGAATTTGAAAATTTAATATATGGCATACTTATTATTATTATTATTTTAATTCTATAGGTTCTCAAGGAAAGGATCGGTTGTCTTGAAGCTACTAATGAGGACCTTTGTCGAGAACTTCATGAATATCGGAGCAGATGTGCTATTGTGGAGCATTGTGAAACAGATTCTCTAGTATGTTAATGTAAACTCTTCTTCGTCTTCCGTTTTATCTTTTTAAAGTTTAAGCCCCCCCCTCCCCAACCCAAAAAAAATTAATGACAATAAATTGCAATGTTGACCTTTCTCCTTGACTATTCTTATATGACACTTTCCATCTCAGGAAGGCCAAGCCTGTTTTGTGAAAAGAGATGGACTTAAGAGGGGCTTGCAGAGTGTGGATTCATCTAGTTATCCAGTAGGAGAAATGACAACAGGTAAGCCATTTCAATAGTTGTATGAATAGGATCATTTCAGAAGAAATGAGTCTGGAAATAGGACGCAATAGGCTACAGGATGATATTTGTGACTGAGTTGTGCTTTTCCAGTCTGATATTTATATTTAAAACAAAATTGCTGTAATTGCAGGTAAAAATTACCAGGAAATCAATGAGGTGACGAAAGAGTGGGAGCACACTTTGCTTTGGAGTACCATGGACAAAGAGTTGAATGAATTAAATAGACGTTTAAAGCAAAAAGAGGTTTCATTAATTGGCCTTATTTTAAATTCTCTTGTTTACATTAAAAACGATTCACACTTAAAAGGATAAGATATTTCAATACTACTAGTATGCCTGTTATGTGACCAAAATAGATGACTTATCTCACTAATTTTTTTCTTTTAAAATTTAATGACTCGCAGAATGGATTTTTCTGAAACTAATAACTACTTTGTAATGTCAACTATCACAAAGTCGGTCTTTCTGTAAAACCATTCCCCATTTTCATTGACATTCCCTCTCGAGAGATACAAGCCAAGACATAAGTATAGTGCTTGGAGTTCTATTCCAAAAAGTAATTCCTTTTGCAGCTTCAGACATTTACATTGATTTGCCACTTTATGGTACTTTATCTCTCTCTATCTACTCTTAGCTTCTCTTTTTGAGGAAGGATCTTTCTTTGTTCTCCCCTATATATCCCTTTAATTATGTTATTGTGTCTTGCCAATATATATAAATGTTCATATAAAAGGCATTTCCCAAAACTCTGCTGCTGCCTGCTTTTCAAAAAATTAATTCATAATGATGCTCAAGGAATTTATACTGTGCACCTTTTTTTCCCTCCCCTTAAAAATTACCAATGCATGTTAAGCCATAGAATATTCAAATATCATCCCTAGTGTGTCTTCCCCCAACAACAAAAAGTAAAATAAAATAAAATGACAAGCCATATTTGAGCTGTCATCCTTACTTCCATGTACCCTTTATGCATGCATGCACAAGGCACACATGAGTGCATGTATAGACAAACATGCATTTATGCTCATTAGGAGGCTAGGTCAGCAGTCTGGTAGACAGAAACAATGAGGAGCACTGTCAAATGGTTAGCTAAAAACAAAATGTAGATTTTTTAAATTTATAATGTAATGTTAACATGTATGAGTGTGATAATAATCAATTGAACCATTGATCATCTAACACGTTCTTCCCACAGGTTCCATATTAGACGAATTATTTCTGAAATTTTGGAATTTTTTCACCACTGCCATTACATGTTAATTCATTCAAGATTTTATACTAATAATAGTTATATACCGATCTGTTGTTGTATTTCTTATTTCTCTCTTAGGAGTAGCACTCCAGTTCTCCCTCATATACACACACATATATAGTTGGGTGGGTCACTCCCACTTGTTTTTTTTGAATCTTTTTTTGGGGAAATAAAGAGTTGTTAACAAAAAAATGGGGTGTAAAATAGCCTAAGGAATGACAATGATAGAGCTCCAAAAAGGAAACTTCGAAGAGAAATGGACATAGAATAAGTTATTTGAGCTCTGTGGAAATGGAAGTTTGTGGCCTTGAAAAGTTGTCCTATTTCGCTTCTCCATGCACTTACTGAAGCAAATTTCCTGGAGAAACATATTTGCAGAACATTGATACAGCCTGAGCATAATGTTCTGTCTGTTGCTTTTGTTATAATGCTAGAATGTTATTAAACTGTATTCGAACAATTTATTTCAGTTTCTTGTTCACCATTTGGTTTTGAATATTTGACACTTGATTGGAGCTTTGAAATAAGTCCTTATGATATTGCATTGCTATCATTTGAATTAGGCTGTTGACATTTGTGCAGTCTGAGATGAAACATATTGGAGAGACTGACACTGAAGCACTTAAGCAGCACTTCAAGAAGAAAATCATGGAACTTGAGGAAGAGAAAAAAATTGTGCTGGTTAGATAGAAAATTTTGAAATTCCATTGCTATTATTATTTTTTCTGTCCTCCATGCAGAGGATGATGTTCTATGAAAACTACAGCAAGAGAGGGACCATTTGGTAGCTGAAATTTTAAACCTTGCTGCTGTTTCTGAGGGACAAACACAGAAACTGCAAGATACTCATGCTCTGAAATTAAAGGCACTTGAGGCACAGGTGACATTATAGTTCTCCCCCTCACCCATCCTCCCCCCACCCCCCACCCCCCCCCCCCCCCCCCCCCCCCCCCCGGCGGTAAATATGACTATATAGTTTCTCCATTTTTCGTTGTGGTATCTCAAACTTTTGTTCCTATCAGATGTTACATAATATCTGAATTTTATTTTTTAAATTAGATTTTTGATCTTAAAAAGAAACAAGAAAGTCAGCTTCAGCTTTTAAAGCAAAAACAAAGGAGTGATGAAGAGGCGAAACGGCTGCAAGATGAGATACAGAGTATCAAGGCTCAGAAGGTTGGTTCTTGTTTTTGTATTTATACCAAGCTGACATTGTCACACAACTGTTATTTATGATTTGATCTCAGGAGCCATCTAGTAACTTTTCCTTTACTTTGTAGGTTCAATTGCAGCATAAGATAAAACAGGAGGCAGAAAAATTTCGACAATGGAAGACTTCTCGTGAGAAAGAATTGCTGCAGGTACTTCATCTCCTCCATTATTTACATAATCCGGCATTCTTCATATATTTCAAAGGCATGATGATTGGTCTAACTGTAACTGGTTTGCAGGACAATTTTACTCTTGGTTGTAACCTCCTCTAAATTCTTAATTAGAGTATTTCAATCGAGTATCTTGTATAATTAATTTTGTTTCTAAGAGATGTCGAATAATAAGAAAGAAAGGAATTAGCTTTGTTCTTTCTATTTCTGAAATAACTCTCTTAAACTAGCATGCATTTGATGTGAATACTGAAGTAACATTCATCACTAGTGCTCATACAATGTGAACCTTAGGAGTAATTTATTAGGTGATTGTATCTGAAATGATGAGATTCCTTAATATTCGAGAATTTCACATTTCCATTATGTAGTAACTGAAGAAAGAACTCAAAAATATGAATAAAAAGAGAACTAAGAACTGACTTGGACATTATATACAGAGGGCATAATTCATTAGGCCCCTAGAAGTGAAGACTGCAGCAATAGAATGGCCCACTTCCAGGATGTGAGTGGCAAAATGCTTGGCCGTGAATCTATGATGGCTCAACCTACAATGTGGCCATTGGTCTGACAAGTGCATGGTTGAATCTTGAATGTTGGGTTTTGACATATGAAGAATGGTCACAAGCACAAGATATGGAATATGTTTTTCAATATATAAATTCACAGTTCAGACAACAAAAATTGGTTTATAACTCTGCTTGTGTTGTGCCTTATTCAGTTGGTCTTAAACCTGAAAAATGAGTTGTTGGTTTCTAACTTATTCGTTGGATTATAACTCTGACTGTGTCATGCCTAATGCAAAGTTATTCAAATAAAGTTTTAGAAGATGTTTGGGCCATGACTGAGAAATATCATGGTTATATGAGAAAAATCATATCCAAGGGGGTGTTGGTCAGATACATGGTGATAGAGATCACAGGGGAACCTATGTGCCACATGCAGTCTGTACCTATTATCGGCATTGATTCAAAGGAACTATTTTCCAACACTTAGCATAGGCATGACTACATGTTTCATTAAGGTTCTTTGCAGCAATTTTTGACTTCTTTGGTTTGTAGCAGCTATTTTGGACATTAGGATTCTTTGGATTGCCTATATATACATGGGCATATGTATTGGATTGGATACTTTTTGATGAATATTTATTATTGAGATAGAAATACAGAGGCTCTTCATCGCCCCAATGGAGATTTCCTCCCCATGGAGATTTCCTCTCCATCAAAAGATCTTCTATTCCGCTCTTTCCAGAGGCTCCACCAAACACAGAGGGGGGTCACCCTCCAGAAATTGTGAACACGCACTCCCACCCTTTGGCCTCTCCAAATATCAATCAAGTCCCTTGAGGTCCGGGGCATAACCCACTGGACGCCAAAAAGACCCAAAATAAGACTCCAGCAGTCATGAGCCACGGGACCATGCAAGAGAAGGTGATCCATAGACTCTCCGTCATTCATACACAGACAATGACTTATTTCTCTTTTATGGTGATTGCTCGAGTGCTTTCTTTTGCCATTGAGGGGTCCAATTTTTTATTTTCAAGGTTGTCGATTAAACAAGAAGATGGTGGTAACCTTTGTGCTATTTTAGGTTATCATTAAATTAGAAAGAAAGCTGAGGTGATTTTGTAGGCCCCTCTGAAGATTCTCTTCTCAACTAGAAGTTTGTGTGACATCCTCGTTTTTGTGTAAGGCTTAAGTCTCAATTTTGTTGACAACTTGACCTTGTTAACATTGAAAGAGAACCAAACATGTCACCAATCAGCCACATAAAACTTGTTAACAACCATCTACTCCAAAAGCTTAAGCTGTTAGAGAGGGTGTAACTTAAATATATATATCCTTCAACAAAACTATAATGTGCTAGATGATACGTGAGTGAGTTATGGCTCATGGTTCTAACTTCTAAACATCGAAATGCTTTTGTTCGGCTCTTGTTGAAACTATTTGAACTTTCAACATTTTAGAAACTGAAGCAGAAGCTGAAGGTAATATCTCAAGCTATACAAAACTTGGATGTTTATCTTTAGGGAAATTTATGGAACTCGCTAGAAGTCATCCAAAATAATTGAATGTCACTACTAGATGCATATTTAAGATGTTAATATATTCTAAAACTTGAAAAAAACAGAAGCCTTGACAATAAAATTCAGATATTCTACTTCTATTTGGTGCAAGTCAATGATTTCTTTATTGTTAAACTTCATTGTGTTACCATGGGGATGGATCTATTAGTGGTAAACTCAACCATTTATTTGTTTTTTAATTATCTATTCTGCCTTCTTCTTCTTAAGGTTTTGTGTTTATAACTGCATCTTAATACACACACACACACACACACACACACACACGTATATATTTTTTACATGACCAAGTGTTTTCCTATATTCCTAAAATTCTTTGAAAAATTTAGTACCATTTCCATTTTTAATATATTGATTAATTGCTTCTCAGGTGAAAATTTGAATTTGAGAGATTTTATTTTTATTGCTTGCTTTTTACTTTTTTCTGTATGGTGCTCATTAAAGTAATACTACTTGCGTGCTAATATAAATTTAACTGTGTTATCAATTATACTTACCAAAGCAAAGATAAGCAAACTGTAGTTTTTATTTTGTTTATGTTCAAGCAGTTAAGAAAGGAGGGCAGGAGAAATGAGTATGAACGGCATAAGCTGCAAGTCGTGAATCAGCGCCAGAAAATGGTACAAGTGCTTCATAAAAGCCTAAGATGTTCAACCTATAACTGGCTATTTTATTTTTCCTTTCTTTCTTCTGTTAAATAAGAATCCATCAATTTGAACAGATAATATAACAAGGGAAAGAAACTTCTCATATATCATCATAGCTCTCCTAGCCTAGACCATCCTTTAACTCAAGAACATGTCTAATATTTGCAATAGCGTCTACCGCCAGTCTGCCCCCAATTGCCTTTCTCTACATGATTTATTTTTACAACTGATATTTCTAAGAAGTTCCCTAATTGTTGATACAATAATCTACAACCTTCATGGAAGATATCTTTACTTATCTGTGGCATCAACAATCAACTCTGAATGGCCTTCAATTTGAACAATCGGCCCTACTATTTAATGTGGTTTGTGACATTAATCATATCGTTAAATTCTCAAGGTAGTGATTCTAGAGATTTGGGAATCATCCTACCCTCATTAGGGAGGTTAACGGGGCTATGCCTCCCAGCCCCATCCCATCCTCAAGTTTAAACATAAATCATATAATGTTTACAGTGATTCCTTTTAAGAATGACAACTGGTCCCTTAGACTTTTGTCTTTAAATATTTAGTAAAATTTATTATCTGTCAATCAAATTTATAGGTATGTTTATCTATTAAATTTTCAGACCTTATACTCAATTCTCTCCTAAATTTAAATGACTAATTCCATTCCAATATATCTCAATATCTTTACATAGAATAACCAAAACAATTATAAATATCTAGTTAAAGTTTTTCTAAAGAAACTTGCATATGGTCCTTAATCAAGCACTACACTATTTTCTAAATGGTTTCTTTATATATGTTTATGGATGTTATGTATAAATATGTACAGTGAACTTTTTGTTTCTGTAAAAGGGGTGGGGTTGATGATAGATTCATTTAGATTTGGATGGCAGAAAATTATAACTATTGGTGTTTCAATTTATTTTGTTTTTCGTATTCTTGTAATTTGAAAATCTAATATTGCTTAAAATGTGTACTTGAGGTGTTAAGGTTCACTTCACGAGTAAAGTATTCGTAGCTATTTTTGTTTCCTTGGTTAAGGAGGGTTTGTAGGTGTGAGTGTAAGTAGCAAAGCCGCTTCATAGATGTTTCCATTCAAGACGTGTCAGACATTGACACTTCTAGCACTCCTAGAAATGTGTGTTACACTTGTGATACGTGTCCAAATATAGAATATGAAATTGATAATTCTTGTGTGTAAGTGTGTAACTCTTCTGATACGTGTCCAAATATAAAAGATAAATTTGATAATTCTGGGTGCTTGGCTGACACTTCTCGGGCTTCCTCAAAACACCTTTTTTTTTTTCAGGAAAAAATTGATCTCGTAGATATGACTGCCACAAGTCAAGTATGGAAAAGAAAGTAAGATGAAAGTAATGTACATAAAAGTGTAAATAAGCTCTGCCTCAGCGAGTATGTTGTTGTTGAACCTTGGGTCGGTAAAGCTGAGGTTGTGTTCAAGCACTGCTCAAGCTCATTTCGGCTGGCTTTGCTCAAACTCATTTCGGCTGGCTTTACTCAAGCTCATCTTGAACACTAAATGACGAACTTGGTTCTGCTCCGCTTGACTCGATATTTGGCAGTTACTGCATAAAGTTCAAGGTCATAATATGGACAGAAAAGGGTACTCTGTCCCAGTTGTATAGAATTATGGACTTTGTAGCCATTACACGAAGTTTTTAGGTTGTTTTAGTCCAAATGGGAAGACAAAATTCATATGAGAGTCTGAATGACCACATTAGAATGACCTTGTCAATTTAATAGATGATTTGCATGTTAGCTGCTGACTTGGAAATTGCTTTTCACATTTTTACTTGACTTTCTATACAAGTAGGAAGTTGTGTTTGCTGGTAAGTTTAAAGTGAGGGGAGTTCTTAGCTCTCAAAGTGTTATGACAAATGCAGCGAACCAAGAACAAATCACGAAACATGACAGAAAAATAAACACGCTACACACAAAGAACACAAAGATTTAGCGTGGTTTGACACATTCAGGAGAGTTACGATGGGTCGACGTGATTGATGTTGACACGACATAAACCATAGATATCTGGATTTCGTGTGTTTCAGGCAAAACTTGATTTACTTAAATGGATCTTTCCATGTTGAGGAATTCTTGGATTGGCTTAATAAAGTTGAGAACTTCTTTGAGTACATTGATATACCTAAACACAAGCAAGTTCCTCTTGTAGCATTCAAGCTTTAAAAAGGCGCTTTTGTTTGGTGGAAACAAAGAGCAACCATAAACAGTAGGGAAAACAACCTGTCCGGATGTGGCACAAGATGAAGTAGTTGCTAAGAGCCAGATTCCTACCAGCACCAAAATTGTAAGCAAGGGAATCGGTCTATTAAGAACTGTACAAGAAGTTCTACAGGTTTAATGCACATTGTAATCTGTCTTGAGTGGGAGAGCCAGCAAGCATTGAAATATATTGCTGGATAGCAGGTGGCGATCCAGGATCAGATTATGATGCCTATGAGAGAAGGACCACCCAAAGCTTCTGAAGTGGAGGGACGGTCTTTTCTTACTAGCGACGAGGCACAGTTCGTGGATGTAGTGAAGGCATTGGATGAGGTTATAGCACTCATTGTTAAGAGCAAAGAGGCGAAAGGAGAGGTACTTGTTTCGGATCCAGTGCGACCTTTGTCAATATCAATAGTTTACCTTAAAAGAGTTGCCAGATGATTTACTACACGAACGGGATAGTCAACATCACAAAGATTTGGTGTCTGATGCAAGTATACCATATTTGCAACATTATTGCATTGAGTCCAGTCGAGAACGAAGAGTTGCAGAGGCAAATTGGGGAGTTCATTCCTATATCGCGTTTCGATGATATATGTTGGATATAGTCATTTGGTTAAAAATCTTTTCGAAGATGGAGTTGAGCGATTATGATCAGATTCATATTAGAATTAAAAGCAAGTGGAAGATTGCTTTCAAAACGGAGGGACATGCCTATATTATTTGCAACTAAACTCGAGGTCTAGTCTTTCTGAAGTGGAGGGGACTGGCGTAGGACATAAATGGTTTAATATATATACATCTATATTATATGTTATATAAGTAGTAATGAAAGGAAAACACTGTTGTCCATACCACAACTGTAAAAGTGTTTCGTGTTTGTTTGTGGAGATATATAACGCGCGCGCGTGTGTGTGATGTGTAGTTGTGGTAAGAAAATAGTGTTAACAGTGAGGATGTGGGAGGTGTGATAATGAAGAATTGAGAAATAAATTTTGTAACTCTTTTGAGTTTGAAGCTTTTGCTTTGTTATTATCTGAGTGCGAGATTATCTTTTAGCTTCTGCTTCGTCATTTGGCATGATGAACGGGCTTAAATGAGGCCACTTGGAAACCCATTGACATCCTACCCATTAAACCTACCTGAAAACTCTTCAACATCCTTCTTCCTCTTTTGTGCAACATGCTACTCAAGCTCTTTTATTTCTTTTTGGGTGTCCTCTTAAAAAAAAAAAAAAAAAAAAAAAAAAAAAAAAAAAAATGAAAAAAAGAAAAAGAAAAAAGAAAAGGGATATGCAGTTGATAATTGGGAGGAGCCTCTTCCTGCAGGTTCTTCAAAGGAAGACTGAAGAGGCTGCAGTAGCTACCAAAAGGCTAAAAGAGTTGTTAGAAGTTCGTAAGACTTCAGCACGTGACAACCTAGGTAAATATATTTTCTCAAAATTTTCTCTCTTACTGTACTTGGACTCAATAATAATATGTTTTTGTCTCTTTCAGTTAAGTTCAACAGAAATACAGCAACTGGACAGGTATGTACTTGGCTTTTCCCCATACTGGATTATGTTAGTCTGAACCACCAAAATGCATTGCAAAACCTGCCTATCCAATTATGGAAGGTCTTGTATTTGGATTGGCTTCCTGAGCCGGATCAACATGAAGCCAAGCCAATTATATTTATAGAAATACATACATACATACATATACATATATATATATATATATATATATATATATATATATATATATATTAATGAAAAGTTCACTATTAATAAAGTCCTAATATGATTGTGTTGGCTGGTTGACTTTGTATTGATGCCGAAGAACAACATGTTGGAGGCTATCAAACCCAGTTATAAACAGCCTGGGCAGTAAATCCAACAGCCCATAGATTTCTAACGTTAATAATTTTTTCAATATTGCTCACATTAATTTATTTTGCTAACTATGTAATTTTAGAATAATTATTAATCTAAATTTCATCTAGAGCAACGACAAAAATTTGCAACGGTGGCTTGGTCATGAGCTAGAAGTAATGGCGAATGTGCATGCTGTTCGTTCAGAATATGAGAAGCAAACTCAATTGTATGTAATTGGTACTGCATTATCGGATTATATTCTTATGGTTCACTAAACTTCTATTTGTTTTACCATCTTAAGTATTAATGTTTTTGTCCAGACGAGCTGCACTAGAGAAAGAGTTAGCCTTGTTGAAACAAGTGGATCAGTTTCCTTTGAACTGTCTTAGATCCCAAAGGAGAAAGAATGAACATTCTAGGTATTTCAGAATTGTTTTACTCATCAAAGTTATCTTTTATCCGTGTTTATATTTCTTGTCTATGGTATAATGGACATGATATAACATACTATATAAATAACTATTTTTGCTTGAATTGAATGATGGTGTTCACTCTACAACTTGTGTTCTCCACTGGTTAGAGTGCCCTCCAAGTCACCAAATGCAAGAATAGCTTCACTCGAACACATGCTGAGAACAACTTCAAATGCCCTTATTGTGATGTCATCACAAGCTTCAGAGGCAGAAGAGCGGGAGCGCAGTTTTACTAGTCATGGACATTGGAACCAGCTACGTTCAATGGGAGATGCAAAAAACTTGTTGCAGTACGTATTCAATGCTGCTGTAGATGCAAGGTGAAACACAGTAAAAAACTAAATGATTTAATCATGACTTCTCTGTTGTTCTGCAATTGGATGTAAAATCACCCCCCTTTTTGTCGTTATCTGGCAATTGAAATCAACTTGAAAACACTCGCTAATATTTTTTAGCTTAATTCAACTAGAAAAGGCAAATGTCGAGTAAGCAAAATGTTAGCAGATATGATAGTCACAATTTATGGAATTACTTACCATTAGTAGAGATTTGATAGCCACGAATAATGGCATAGAATATGCTGTGATTTGATTTAAAAAATATGCCATAGACTATCATATCTGCTAACACAAACTATGGAACAATTGAAGGTAAAAAATATCATGTAAATGAAATATTGGCACTAAAAGGAAGATAAGAGAAATTGACTGGTCAAGGGGTCTTTCCATGGATGATGACGATTTTCTGAAAGAACAGATATGAAGTTCCCTGTTCTTAGAACCTGTCAGTCAATTAATCTTGCTTCCCATATACTAAGTTGGTTATGCATTCTGGAAAAATATTTCCTTGTTAACATGTCTTGTCCCTCAAGCTCATGCTTTAGTAATTAGAGAGGGATAATTAAAGAAACACCCCTTCACAATATCATTACAGTGTGACCCTCACCCTTTTCTACCTATGTAACTGCTGATTTGGTGCATTCCTATCTTTGTACATTTGAAAAAAAAAAAAAAAAAAAAAAAAAAAGGGCTAGTTCAATGCACGAGGCTCCCGCCACTGCGCGGTCAGATTCTTATCCTTGCACATCCTGAGGTAAAATTGGAATTCAGAATGGAAATCTTGTTCACAAAGCTGTAGAGGAGATGAGCAATACAAGGATAAGAAAATTGATCCCGACTGCCATACTTATTATGAACTCTTTCAGGCTTCTTACAGGATATTAAATATGATGCAATGCTAATCCTGGCCATCAGAGTCTTAGAACAGGACTCCTGCTCATTTATTTAAAATTTTGAAAACCATCTTTCCAAACATGAGATCTAGATCTCTCCGTTTGCTTGATTTTTCTGAGTCTTTGCTTGCTGAGTGCCAACCTATGCATTTTTCTGCTATGATCTCTCACCTATCTGAATATTTATGTCACCTTTTATTTTTTATTTTTCTCAATATTCATTATGTCACCTTTTGAACATATGAGAAAACCTTTTCTTTTTAACCCAAAAAAAAAATTTGATCAGCTGTCTGCTGCATCAAAAAACACACTTTTTTGTTATATATGATACAGATTTATTATTTTCTGTGTAAGAGTATCTGTATCATTGGTCTCATTAGGTGCGAGTTGTGGGAAAAGGAAGTGGAAATCAAGGAGATGAATGATCAATTAGGTGAGCTTGTGACCTTGTTGCAACAAAGTGAGGAACAGAGAAAAGAAATTGTGAAGGAACAAAACCTGCGGGAGCAAGCTATTGCCATTGCCTTGACTACATCAGCTTCAGTAAGATTATTGTTCAACAGCTTATGTTTTCTGCAGTAAAATCCATAATAATTTTGTAATCATTCAGAGTTGCATGTTATCAGTGGAACTTGGAAGCTCAACTCTGTAATATAGATCCATATAAACCAAGGATTTGCATATTGAGCTACAACATGCGATCCAAATTTGTGCTTGAAGTACTTAATTGGTGATGGTTTTGTGGACAAATTTCTCCAATTTTATTTCATTGGTCCTCATGTAACTATACAAGTACATAAAAAAAGGTCCAAGGGATTTTGAGATAATTTCTTGAGGCTCAACCATATTCATTTTAGAAAAAGCATTTGGCATTTTGACAAGTACTTTTTCAGTTTTGCGTACTGTTCTGACACTTTTAAATACGTATTACAGGGGAAATCATCAGGTCTGTTAAAGCACTCCGTGGATGATGATGTTAGTGTCCCTGCATCTCCAGTTTCAGTGCCAGCACCTAAGCAACTCAAATACACAGCTGGGATTGATAATGGGTCAGTCAGAGAGTCAGCGGCAATTCCATTCCAAACCCAAAATGTAATTCTCTATCTTGATGGTGCCTTTGTAATGTAATTTCCATGTTTGTTTAATAATATATTAACAGTGGGGTGTGCAGATGGTACCAATGGGGCAGTTGTCAATGATGAAACAGGCTGGGAAACTCTGGAGGTGGAAGAGGAGTCATCATCAATGGCTGTTACAGTACAAATGGAAGTGGCAGAAACCATGGAAACTTTCTGAGTGGATCAAACATAGTGACGAGACACTCATGAAATTGAGACCTCATACACATGCTTTGGCAGATATGATGTGATAATTTCACAATTATAGCATCTTTAATGCTGTATATACATCTTGACTGCTGCATATACGATCCTGTACATATCTGGTGGATGACGCAAATAACTGCAGGTAATATTTTTTTTCTCTAGTTTGTTGTCTGTGAACTTTGACAGCAATTTTATGCTATGCTTGAAAAGTTACTGATTCCATTTTAGGTCGATTACATTTCCTTAAGGCTAGAGCTTAAAAATATAAGACTTTGCTCTTTCACAAAAGGTCTGGTAGTCTGACATTATTTCTGGACATTTCATGAGTTAGTGCTTAAACTTTATAACTTGCAAAATTGATCAAAATTTCATCAATCACACACTTTCTAGAAGGCAAGTGGAGTTCAATTCATGAAATTTGCGGTTTCATAGGAGTTCTCATCCATCAGTGGATGTTACATTTCTTATCTTTTATTTCATCTCAGAGCCGTAATTGGTGGAAGGGGGTGCTACCAATGGCCTTTTTAGCTTTTAGACATGTAGATGGAGTTGTAGTGAGTTCGTTGTGCAGAGTTTGGCTTTGAGTTCGGCTGCCATTATGCGGGCTGGTGGGATCTGAAATGTTGCTGTCATTGTATATATGATGAAACTGACAGAAGTCGCAACTCTTTCCTGCCTATGAGAGAGGTATTTGTCACTATTTGATTCAAATTTTGTGTACAAAGTACTGCAAATTTTTTTTTTTTTTTTTTTTTCTTCTTCCTGATTATGTAATTATTTTCTCATCTGCTTTGGCACAAAAGCAGTGTAAGTTTTGTTTGTACACAATCCATATTCAATTTGGTTGAGGACGTTGAGTTCTCCACCTGGAAATTTTATTTTATTTTTATATTTCGTAATTAAAATTGTCAATATCCTCTTTGGAGGAGTATCCTCCAAACAAAAGTTGGGTTTATTGGAATTCAAACAAAATGGGTTTTGAACCCCAAGGGCTTGGAGTCTTTGGATTCAAACAACTCTTTAGAGAGGGATGTGTGAGTATCAATTAAGATAGAAAAAAACAAAAGAAGATGGGTTTTGAAATTTTGTGCTTACCTAAAAAATAAATTCCCATTTTCAAATTTTGTGCTTATCGAAAAAAAGAAAAAGAAAAAGAAAGATGTGTTTTTAAATTTTGTGTACTGGGTGCCTCTGAAAGTATCATGTATGAGGTAATTAAGACATTTTGCTGAACTTTCCAACACACCTTTAGCAGAATTGCCTCACAAGTTTCGAATTTGCTTGGCCAACTAGAGAGATTGCATGTCCGGTTGAACTTTGGGTGCTCCCTAAGTGCAATTTATATTCGGATATTTTCTCTCACAAATTTTAAAAATAATTTGGAAAAAAGGCCTACATTTTGCTTGTGTAAAAATAAATATATATAAAATATAAAAAAGTAATTTGTAAAATTTTAAAAAAAAAAAATAAATAAGAAAAGGGGGAATTGTAATTTAACCACACGTAAAATATGTTTCCTTTTTTAGATAATATATATATATACATATATATATTTCAGTATTTGGCCAGAAATTGTGGTCGAGTCTAAGAGTGTTTTAAATAATTTGTTAAAAATTGATAAGTAAATTATTTTTGTTAAATTTTAATATTTTTACAATAACCAAATACCAAAATATAAAAAAATATTTACATCCAGAAAGCTAACTCCACCTTTGTCAAACATCAAACATAAATTTATCGAATAATTACCAATTACAATCGAGAGAAAATAATACAACACACTCAAGAATAGTAAAAATAAACAAGAACAATGTATAGAGAAATATAGAACTGCTAGGATGATTTTGGGATCCTTTTATTGGAGGTCTTGGCCTCTATTTATACACAAAAGATAGTAGAATTATGGTAAGACTCGCATTGCTTGTCCTCCAATTATTTCCATGTATGACTTTCTTTACAATTAGAGTTCTTTTCATTGAAGAATTTTCTATGCACAGAACTTGCCTTGTCTAAAATTTCCTTCCATGGTAAATCCTCCTATTGGTAGGATTTCTTCATAACTGGTTGGACTTTGAATAATGGGCCGTATGCTTGATATTAGCGAATGGATTGATACCCTTTTGACCCGGCCTGGATAAAGGTCAAGAGGGCTGATAACTGAGACCCTTGGCTAAGAATACACTCAATTTGGGCTTGGTGTGATGGACTTTTGGCAGACAGATTTGCCTCTGAGATGACGTGGAGTAATTTCATTGGAGGGAAATTTTTCCCTCCACAGGTGGACAGAGCCTAAATGTCGAACAAACACCCATATCACTAAGTTCACACAATGAACCGGCCAAGATTCCACAGTACTGTGCTAAAAAAGGCCACGTCTATGGTTCTTTGATGATCTAATTAATTCTAGTTGTTAACAATCACACGACACTTCCTTGCACTGCATTTACAACAAAAAAAAAAAAAATCAACTTTCACAATCTTTAAATCTAGAAAGAAAAAAAAACCAAAAAGTAAAATTATGATTTAGTCATCACTTTTAAACTCACTATCATCAGTAATTGATTTTGCGGGCTGCCACCAATGTAAGTAAAACATGATGCTAGTGACAAAACAGTCACTGACAGTCGCCCTCATTCGAAAAAAAAAAAAAAAAAAAAAAAAAAATACAGAAAAGTTTTTCTTAAAGCAAAGTTATCCAGCACATAGATTTGCTTGACGGTGTGTTAAAGAATAGCATGTGTCTATTTCAGTCTTTTCTTCTCATCACCCTCCGTAGAAGGAACATACATTAATGCTCCTTTTTTATTATTATTTTATTACTAAATTAATGATAAAATTGAAAATAAATAAACCAATGTAACATGATCTAATTTTAACTAAGAAAATTAGGAGAAACTTTTTCATTTTTTGGTTATCAATTAGGTGAAACTGTTGTTGGATGAGTATTAATTTTGATTTTTTTTATTTTAAAAAATTTGTTGGGATTTAAAATACAAATACCCTATACTTTTACAAGAGGAACAATTTCATTAGTGGTCCTCTTCTGTAGTCAACTCTTAAATTTCTCTATTAATATAGATTTACAATTGTGATTCAATGTGCACATGGCAAATACTTTAATTAGTGTCTCATTTTTATTTATTTTTTCTTTTTTTCTTTTTCTGGAACGAAAGATTAATATAATAACCACGAGATGCTATAATTTGTATATTTACAAATTAATGATGGAGTAGTTGCATAAAAAATTGTAACCATGTCTAACACTATACATAATTATTGCTAGTTATGGTTAACTATACAATCTCGTTCACATGTGTCTCAACTGCCTGGTTCCTTACCCATGCAACAGTACTCTATAAAATATATTTGATTAAAAAAATTGTAACCATATCTAACAATATTCCAAGCATGTATGTGTATGCATATATAATTGAATCATATGGATGAACATCAAGATTTTGCTTCATCTTGTAATTGAACTTGCTAGTTTCATCTTTAGTTATCCTTTATTTTGTAGTTAGAAGAATGTTTGGCTCCTCTCTTAGGAATATAAATTGTGTCCTCAAAATTTAAAAATCTGTTTAAAATTTAAAATTGGATATTATCCGTACTGTTTCGAGTTAAGCTTTTTTTATTTTTATTTTTATTTTTATCCTTTTGAATAAAAGTTGCCCTTTTTATGAAAGATCACTAAGATGGGTAATGTCCATCTTTAAATTTTATTTTGAATAAATGTCTAAATTTTAAGGGAGAGACCAAAACATTGTCCTTATAGTTAACATTGCAGTCTAATTTGGACACTAATGTTTGGAATCAATTGAAGTTGAATTTAATTCCCCCTCTACCAACCTCACAATCAATTGAAGTTGAATTGTCTCTCTCTCACAGCTGCAGTTAATATATAAATATATATATATATATACATATTATATATATATTAATGGAGGTTCCTTAGGAATCAAAAGTTGAAATGAACAAGGAAAAGCGACTTGTGGTTTGCAATTAGTTATTGGGTCGCTACAACCGTACCAAATACCTTTCCTCCACCTGCTCCAGTCCAACCACTCTTTGTAAACTTCGTCCAAAACAACATAACAAAACCATTTTTCCATAACCCCAGAGAGTATAGGATGACATGATAGTTGAGAAAAACAATTTAAATGCCCAATCACAATTGTTCAAACCAATATAATACTGGAAACAATTAGTCAACTTGGTCTGGCTAGAGCACATTGTTCCAATATGGTTGGGTTATCAAAATCACATATTGGTGACCATTGTTGTGTCTCCTTCATATTTCCAACATTAACCCTCTTTTACTAAAACCATCTGTTAAGGCTAGTGCCTAAATTTGGACCCCTTCTAACATCTTTAAATTAATACCCATTCTCTCATCCCTCTCAGAGACCTTGTACACTACCACTGCAACAAAGTCTCTCTCTCTCTCTCTCTCTCTCACACACACACACACACACAATATGAAGAACAGCATTAACAACACAAAGCTCATCCTCCTCCACCCCTATATCCAAAAACAAGGAAGCTCCAACCGTCTATGGCTTCTAGCTTTCCTTTCATTCTTCACAGTTGCCTTTCTTGTCACCCTCATTTACACTAGAGAATCTATAGCCATCACCACCACCGCTGCTGCAGCTTCGGCTGCCACCAGTGCCGGAAACCCTCCCTTATCAAAAACCCTAGTCAAGGCCCTCCTCCACTACGCCTCCACCTCCAACAACACAGACCATATGTCATACTCCGACATCAAACCTATCTCCGACGTCCTCCGGCAATGCCAGACTCCTTGTAACTTCCTCATTTTTGGCCTCACCCCGGAAACCCTTCTCTGGAAAGCACTCAACCACAATGGCCGAACAGTCTTCATCGACGAAAACCGATATTATGCAGCCTACATGGAAGAAAAATACCCTGAAATCGAAGTCTACGACGTGCAGTACACCACGAAAATAAGCGAAATCAAGGAGCTGATAAGGTCAGTGAGAGACCAAGTACGCAATGAGTGCAGGCCTGTCCAAAACCTATTGTTTTCTGAGTGTAAGGTTGGACTTAATGACCTTCCAAACCAATTGTATGAGATGGATTGGGATGTGATATTGGTGGATGGGCCACGTGGGTACTGGCCGGAAGCACCAGGTCGTATGTCGGCGATCTTCACCGCCGGCGTGCTGGCCAGGAGCAAGAAGGGTGGTGGCAATGCTAAGACGCATGTTTTTGTGCATGACTTCAACAGAGAAGTGGAGACAGTTTCTAGTGAAGAGTTCTTGTGCAAAGAGAACTTGGTGAAGTCTAAGGACTTGCTTGGCCACTTTGTTATTGAAAGAATGGATGAGAATAGCCTTCAATTCTGTCGGAACCATATGTCGTCTTCGTCTTTGTCGGCGTCGTCGTCATCTTCATCAGCTTCATTATCATCTTAAGCTTTCTCGATATATACCATCATCGATCAACATTGTAGTCCCTAATATTGGTCAATGGTATAAGGAGGTAACTTTGGTTATTTATCACCAATTTGGTTGTTGACCTTTTCTCTAGAGTGGGTTGAATGTAAGAAATAATTTTTTTGAGGGACGTGTAAAAATGCATGCAATTTCATTCAATGAAAAGTAAACCTTTGCTTTTGTTAAATGTTTTTTAATCATTCGGCTGTTAAGAGATAAGGTGATTTTGGCATAGATTGGGACACATTGAACAGAACTCCAATGCAGTATTAATGGTTGTATGTTGTTCAAAATTCAAACAAGAAATGAGCTAGGTGGTGGGTGCAGGATCCTCTCTGTCCAATGCACCACCAGCGCAGAGATCATCTCCGTCCAATATATCAAAACGGTACTGATTTGATTTGATGCATAGACTGCACGGATGCATATGATCCCCTTGAGGAGGGGATTAATTGTGTCATAACACTTCATGTGCTAATTAATTGCTGTAATATGTACTCAAGGACTTACTAGTAATTGCCAGTGGGTATATCAGGGAACTTTTGCACTTTATGCATCCAAATACTAAGACGGCACCATTCTACTGCACCAACTGCACACGAGGGTCGGAAGTCTTGTCAAAGTGGTGCTAGTCAATTACTGTAATATTGTTAAGTACTACGTACTTGCTAATAATATACTGTGTTAAAAGAAATAAAAAATGCTGATCCAAAATTCTTCTTACTTTGACTTTGTACATGAACAATGTGCCTTCTAACATATCGCATGGTAGTATCAACTAAAATTTGGTATATGTGATATAAACACACAATGGGACAACGATTCTTATTTTTCAACTTGATATAAGTGTTATAAACAGAAAATAAATACTTTGGGAAATAAAACACTTTCCCAAAATAAAAATTAAAAATTAAAAGACGAAAAAGTAATGGTAAATTGGGAATTAATATTGCCCAGTCATAAAGGCTAATATTATGGATAAATCGAAGAAAACACCTTAAAGTATAATTGACATAACACTTTCCCTTTATATTTTTAAAAGTGCATAATTAACCTTCTTATTTTTAAAAAATTGAGTAAAAATACTTTTCAAATTACTTTTTGCAAATATCTGCACATAAATTAATATTGTAATATCCATTTTGCCCTTTTACTCTTTTAAAAATGACCAAAGGGGTGTGTATGTGAATAATCTTATAGTAGAGACATCAACTATATTTAACCCACTTTAAAGGATTTTCTCCACATTTTAAAAAATAAAAAACTTAAAAGCTCTCTCTATACATTTTCCTTAACAGTATATTATCTCTGTGGATTATCTCTCTTTGGTTGACTATTTTACATTTTCTAATGACACTCATAAGTTAGAAAATTTTAATATATATATATATATATATATATATATATATATATATATATATCTTTTATTGGTCAAATGGAAAAATAAAAAATAAAAAATTTGTTCTCACAGTTGTCAGATTAATTTACATTATGTACGGTATATAATATGGAATGAAAATATCACTAATTTCTAGCTATAAATATAAAAAAGAAAATATCATTTCCAATAAATTTTAATATACTTATCATTTTTCATTAAATATATACATTTAATTTCAATCTTTAATGAAATAATAATAATAACAAATGGCTCATTTTCCGATCCACTAAAATTGGGAATTTAAGGTGCACAAAATTGGGAAAGGAATTACTTCATCATCTCCCGAGTTTTGGATACCTCTTTTGTTCAATCACCCCAATTCCGCACTTTACCCTAATTCAAAGCATTATTAGTTGTATTTATTTGGATTGAATTTATTATCAAGGTAATTTGCACTCAACCCCTAGTTGAGTTTATGACATCTATAAACAATTTTGACAATGTTTGAACAATGACATCCTCTAATATTGATAAAGTTAACGGGTACACCCAAATCAATTTTTTGGACATTACTACCCCTTGATTTATGAATTGACCAATAAAAATACCATTGTGTCCATTCATTTCATCTCTAACCTTCTTTGTGTTCATCATCTCACCGAAAACTTCAAAGCCTCACCACCACTTTCACATCCCTGCCATCACCACAGCCTTCATCGCCACCTCCACCACCGCAAATTCCACCCTCTCTCGATTCACGACCGGACCCTTCCGCAACTTGCCTCACCGCTTCCATGGTCACCTCCACCACCACATCCACATCCTCGTCGCCACCACCACCTTCATCGCCACATCCACCACTATAACCCCCATCCTCTCTCGGTTAATGACATCATTAACCCCAAACCCAACTTCTCCCAAACACAACCTCTCAATCCTCACCAAACTCGACAGTGGCGCAAAGCCTGAGGACACGGCGAATGGCAGGCACAAATGGCCTAAGTAGCAACGATTCTGGTCATGAACGACGGGCACGATGCTCCTTAAACCAAGTTCCACGACCATATCCTGATCTTGATCCGAACCATGGACGGAACAGCGGGCACGAACAGCTTGAGACCACCGATTTCGTTCACGAATGGTCTGAGATAGCAAATGACAGGCACAATGGTCCTCAAATTTAGTTCCACCTTTGATTACTTCCCCAAGATGGCGGGCATGACTGTCCAAGATTTGCGTCGTCACTTTTGTGGTGGTTGTGATACCTTTCGATTCTAGAGCCCCGGGTGATCAAATCCAAGTACAAAATATAAGGGATATCAAACAATTAATATTTAAACAAGCATTTGATACAAAAAGAATAATAAATAAATAATAAGCTGAATAGAACTAAATAATAAATCCTTATTTAAAAATCCTCAAACAAATAATAATTAAAAATCCTATAATAAAATCCTTCAATCCTCTGATACCAGTAATTATTTAAATTACAACTCGAGAATCCATACTGTGGACCCCTAATGATATTCTAACTGAAATAACTGAACTGAAATAAAACTAATATTAAAACATGAAGAAGAGTCCTATGTAGAGTCAGAAAAGTGAATGACTGTCTCCGCTCAGCACGAACAATCTCTAAGACTGGAACTGAAGACTACCTAAAAAAAATAATGGTGGGTCATGCCCACAAATAAGTTCTAATCTACTACATCCCAAATAGAGACCCGATATACGTATACATCATAATTAATTCAACAATAACTAAATAATTCATATATAGATATACACACACTAAAGGAACCTCACTAGACTATAGAACTACCTCAACCTGAATAGTAGGCAATATGCAAAACGCACATATAGTGGGCATGAGTACCTAGACTTACCAGGGTACATAACTACACTATATCTAGCTATACATCACTGACAATATACACACCCTAACCACTGATCCTGAGACTCAAGCTCATATCATGGCATAATTATATATATACAATCCGTCCTATCCAACTATCAAAATAAACTATCTAAATATTATTTTAATAATATGTCATCCAACTGTTCCGTTGATCTGACTGGAAAATAAGTAAGATTTAACTTTATTAGTTAATCCATTTCCTTATATGCCCTCATCCCATAATGATGCATTAATTCACAATATAATCACATAAAGGTTTCCATATCCATATAAAGATGCAAACAATATATACATCTAATAATCCACACAAACATGATATAAATCATATATACATCTCTTACATTTAATTGAGTAAAAATAACAATTCTAAGTATCATGCAATTAATTTACCTCATAAAAAATTAACACGCGTCTCAATTAATTGTACTCCTCCACAATCTAATTAAATTCATTTAAATCCAAATAATTAATTTAAATAATTTAACCTAATAATATTTAATTAATTTAACCTTTTAAACTAAATTTCATACTTAGCATGAGTACTTTAAATCATGTAACCCAATTCTTAATGAATTTATTTAAATTAAATAAATATTTAATACAGATCCATCAATTAAAAACAACAATATTAGTTAAATATCCCAGCATTTAGTCCGATTATCCTTTAATAATATTAAATGCAAAAATCATCTAATCAAAACAAAATAATATATAGCATAATTTTTTTAAAAAAATTACTTAAATATTCAATCCAATAAAAAAATATATATATATTTTTTTTATTTTTCTCATTCTTGGCGTGCATGTTTTATAAGAAAAAAAACAAACTATCGTTACCATTATATTGACCTCCTCGTTCGGCGTGCATGAAGACATCACGAAATTGGATTTTATACATATAAACAAAACTGATTCATGCTAGCATTCTTTAAAGCCTCGTTTCGTGTGCATGCTTTATGTAGGAACAAATTTTAATTTTATATTTATACACACCGCTGATTCATGCTAGCATAAGTCATGTAAAAATAAAATAAATTAAATTAAAAACAAATGCCACCAACAGTGTAGGGAGAAGAAAATAATTAAAATCTATTATTAAAACATGAACTAAAATTTTTAAATTAATTAATGTAATTTGATCCAATTAATTTATTCAAAGAATCTATAATTAATTAAGCACGTATAAGGTATGAATCAAAGGCGAAGAGATGAATTTAAACTTGCCTTTATGGATTTGATAAAAAAAACCTAACCTCCTTCTTCTTCTTTCTCTTCCTTCTTTCTCTCTTTAAAATATAGAGCGTGATTATTTTTTAGCCCATTTTATAACCCTATAGTTATATATTTATAACCAAATAAAATAATCCAAATATAATTAAAAATATATATATAAATTAATCTAAATAAAATATTAAAAGGTAACTAATTTAAATAATATATATATATATATATATATATATATATATCATTTATTATATAAATACAAATATATACACATCATATTATTTATTATTAATAATATTAATTAATAAATTTCATTCCTTATATATATACACACACACACACATATACAACTATCCATACTCATTTAACCTCCCATCCAAGTAGTCTATAGGACCCAATTGGTTGGTCCACTACTACTATCCATATCCAATTCCGTTAAAAATAAATAATAAAAATATATAAAAATAAAATAAATAATTAAATAATTAAATTTATAAACAAATACACATCATCACACACAATTTAATTTAAACAAATAAATTGAATACACATAATTTTAGCACACAATTTAATTTAAACAAATAATTCAATTAACACATAAACAAAAAAATCAATTAAACAAGTAAACAAGTAGCCAAGAAATCAAATAACAAATTGAAATGCA